CTTTAGGTATAATTCTATTAGAGGCTGAGATGTAACATGAATTAATGGCATGTGTCCTTAAAATACTATTTGAGTTGTCTAAGGGAAAAACCCAGGTACCTACATTTGAGATAATTGGTAGAAAACCTAAAGCAAACTTTGATTTATCCAGGTAATTGTAGGAAGAATTGGTTCTTAGAAAAGGACATGAATATTTTGACTAATTTATTGTTATAAGTAAAATTATCTTTCTAATCTTTTAATGGAAACTCTGTGAAGGTCAGAGATACTCAAGTATTTCTAGTTTCCCAGAATCTTCTCTTTTAAAATAAGATAATGCAGGTGGGTTTATGTTTTTTTCTCTTTATGCCCATTTTTATTCAAATATCACAATTTACAATACTGTTAAATAATAGTTTCATTCATACATTGTTTCAAACCACACCCACTACCAGTGTCTGCTTCCCTCATTGTTTCAAGGACCCCTACCACCCACCCCTCTTTTTTCCCCACCTCCCTTACGACCTGTCCCCACTCCTCAGCTTAGTTCTGCAGATCAACTCTAGTTCTGTTGCCTCTGGTCATCTTTTGCTTGCTCATTATATTTCTTTATATCCCACAACAAGAGCAACCACACTTTGTCCCTCTCCTTCTGATTTCACTTAAAACAGTACTCTCTTGCTCGTTATATGTACCGGAAAATTGTGTGATTTCATCTTTTCTTATAGCTGAGTAGCATTCCACTGTGCAAATATACCATAAATTATTTTTTCTAGTCATCTGTTCTTGGGCATTTGAATTGTGTTCAGATCTTGGCTTTTATATGAATAGTGTTATAATGAACACATAGGGAGACAAATACCTTTTTGAAATAGTGTTTTTGGGCCTTTGGAGTGGATCCCAAGAAGTGGAATTTCTGGCTTTTATAGAAGCTCAATTATTAGTTTTCTGACAAGTGTTTCTATGTTTTTCCAAAAAGATTGAACCAGTTGACATTCCCACAGTTGATTAGGGTTCCTTTTTCCCATATCCACAGCAGCACTGACAGTTTTTGAACTTTTCATGTGTACCAATATCATTGGTGTGAGGTGATATATAATTGTTTTGCTTTGCATTTTCCTGATGAAAGGTGGTGGAAAGCATTTGTCATATACTGATGGCCAACTGCTATCTTGTTAAGAAAATATCTGTTCATCTCTTCTCCCCATTTTGTGATGGGTTTAATTGTTTTATTGTTAAGTTTTACAGGTACATTGTATATATTTTATAAATGTGTTTGTGTATATATGTATATATGTATATATGTATATATACATATATATGTTATACTCTTTATCAGATGAGTGGTGGGAGAATATTTTCTCCTAGGCTATGAGATGTCTTTTTATTTTAGACACCTTTTCTTTTGTTTTACATAAGCTTCTTAATTTTATATAATCCCATTTGTTTATTTTTGCTTTTGCTTACTTAGCCAGTGGCATTGGGTCCTTAAAGGTAACCTGTAGATACAACGTGATAGAAGGTACTATGTTTTCCTCAATATAATTTATGAATTAAGGTCTGATGACAAGGTCTTTAACACAGTTTGAATGGACTTTTGTATAAGGTTTTATATAAGGGTCTGAGATCATTTATGCTTTACATGTGTCTGACCGATTTTTCCAACCCCATTTGTTAAAGAGGTTGTCCTTGCTCCACTTCATACTCCTAGCTCCTTTGCCAAATATTAGCTGTCCATAAACTGGAGAGTCTAATCTCTGGACTTTCAATTCTATTCCATTGGGTAAGAGTCTGCTTTATATCAGTAAAACATTGTCTCAATTATTATAGTGTTATAGTATAAAGTTGTGGGGAGGAGTCTCCCGTATTTTTCCCTAGAATTATTTTGGCTAATTGTTTTTTTAATTACTCCGTATAAATTTTAATAACATTTTGTCTGTTCATTAAAATGTCACGGAAGTTTTTTGGGGCCCAGAATGCTTCCACTGTGCCACTTTGCCACCTCAAAGGAGTTTTTATAAGGACACCCTTTTGGGATTACTGTCATTTTAATAGTGTTAATACTCCTGTCCCAGGAACACGGGATGTTTCCATTTTCCTCTTCTCATTTCCTGGTCTTCTATTGTTTTAGTACTATCTTATTGTTTGCTTTGTAACCCCCCTTTTTAAAATCTCTTTTGTTACGCTGTTTCCCAGGTACTTGATTGTTTTTGTGTGTTTTGGGGCCACACCTGGCAATGTCCAGGGGTTACTCTTGCCTCCACATTGCACTCAAGAATTACTTCTGACCGTGCTAGGGGGTGGGGGTGGGGGAACCATATGGGATGCCAGAGATTGACCCGTTTGGCCACAGGCAGAGCAAGCACCGTAATTGCTATACTATCACTCTAGCACCATGTACTTGATTTTTTTACAACAAGGTGTGAATAGAATTGTTTTCATTTCTCCCTCTCCACTTTATTGTTTGCATATAGAAATGACATGAATTTCTGTGTGTTGATTTTGTAACGGTCATTTTATTGCACACTTTTTTTTTTGTTTCTAAGACGTTCTTGTTTTGGTAGAGTCTTTATGGTTTTCTAAATATAGTATTATGTCATCTGCAAGCAGTGATAGTTCGACTTCCTCTTTACCAATCTGTACCCCTTTAATATCTCTTTCTTGAAAAAATTGCTATCGCAAAGACATCCAATCTATACTATAAAATAGTGGTGAGAGGGGAGGCCAGAGAAAGAGTTGTGTGAATTGGGAACTTACACTGCACAGGGTAAGTGAATTGGGAACTTACATTGTACCACTACTGAGGGTTCGATCCCTAGACCCATGTTTGGTCACCTAAGTACCTCCAGGAGCTATTTCTGAACACAATACCAGGAGCAAGCCCTGAGAACAGTTGGGTATGGCCCCCTAAAACAATAAATAAGTAACAGTAACAGTGGTGACAGTGGGCAACTTTGTCTTTACCTGAACTTAGGGCAAAGGCTTTCACTTTTTCAATGTTGAATATGGTGTTAGCTGTGGGTTTATGGTAATGGCATTAACTATATTAAGGAACATTCATTCTATCCCTCATTTTATGTCTAATCTTGTCAAACGCTCTTTCTGCATTTATTGATACGATCACATACTTTAGTTATTCCTTGTTTTGTCATGGTGGGGGCTGGACCGATGGCATTTGCCTTGCACGCGGCCGACCGGGATTCGATTCCTCTTCCTTTTGGAGAGCCTGGCAAGCTAGGGAGAGTATACCGCCCGCAGAGCAGCGCCTGGCAAGCTCCCAGTGGCATATTCCATATGCCAAAAACAGTAACAAGTCTCACAATGGAGACGTTATTGGTGCCCGCTGGAGCAAATCGATGGACAACAGGAGGACAGTGCTACAGTGCACTGTCATGGTGTACTACACCGCATGACTTGAGGATATTAAATTACCTGTGCATCGCTGGGGTAAACTCTCCTTGGTGTTTGACCTTTTTTAAGTGCACTGTTGACTTAACTTCCCTCAGCAAGTCACCGATTACTCTCAGACAGTAGCAAAAAAGCAACACGAAGGAGCAAGGATGAGAAACCTGAAAGGAGAGGAACCAGCCAGGGAAGGAGCAGAAAGCAGATGCTAAGTGGTCAGGAGAGTCCAACAGCGGCGCCTCCGCATAAGGACTTGCTGCCCCTGGAGAAAGAGGCAGAGCCAGCCGGGTCACCGACGGGGACACCTTGGGATCGAGTTGTCCTCAGTGGGAGTGGCCAGAAAGAACGGCGGAGGGGGCGGGGGAGCGGGAGGAGCCAGCCTTGCGCATGCGTCCTGCGGGCGGAAGGCGCCTCCGTTCGCGCCTGCGCTCTGCAGTCTCGGCGAGCCTCCGCCTCCTTCTCCTCGGCGGCGGGCAGCGGGCGCCGGGATCCGGGGCGGGATGGTGCAGCGGTGCCAGGTAAGGGCGGGGAGCTAGCGCGGACCGGTCTGCCTCCTCCCCGACCAGTCGGACCCGGGCAGCCTTCCCCTCGTCTGGGGCTTTGACAGCCCGCGGGGCGGGGGGCTTCGGGGGCTCGAGGGCTCCGCTCGGCCGGCTCGGGAGTCTGCGTTGGGGCGTCCCAGGTCTTCAGCTCTCCGAGGGCGCAGGCGACCTTCGCCCCTGCAGCAGCTCCGGTGGTTCCTCTGGCTCCGTGGCCGGACTTCGGTTTAGAAAGAAATGCACGCCACCAAGAAGTGTTTCCGAAGTGTGCTTTGTCTGTCCGTTTGCAGATCCCGATGGTTTGCAAACCTCCCATTATTTAGTAGGGATCTTTGCCGGGACGGTGGGCGTGTTCGCTGAGTGGCTGGGACCCCCTCGGGGACCGCAGCATTATTCATACCCCAGGAAATACCAGTTTAGCCAGTACTGAGAACTTCTTTGCTTTGGGAAATGTCAGTATTTGTATGTTGCATAACTTAATCCGCAGCCCGGCTCTGTGTCACCAGACTGGATCCAGAGGTCGTTGGACAACCACGAAATAACGTGCCCGGCCCTGGTTTGGTCGGCTCCTTCTGTCAGTCACCTCGAGACGGGGAGGCATTTGTTTACTGCCTGTGTGTTTATAAATGGTGTTGCGACTTGAAAACAACTGTATGGTTCTAAGAAGATTTTGTTGGGATTTTTGTTGCAGCACACTCGTGAGACTAAAATTAGCCTGAACAGTGCCTTAAAAAAATTGTTTTTCTTAAATTGAATTTATAGAACATGAATTTGGGGACTGGTGGTTTGGGGCCCAAACTCACGGAGCTCAGAGACTACCTAGGGGCCACTCCTGACTTTGCGCTTTGCAGTCACGCTGGCAGTGGGTGGGGGTAGATCCAAAACGGGCAGTGTGAAAGGTCAGGGCTTGAACCCTGTACAGTCACCTACCCCGTATCTTTGTGGGCGATTAAATTTTCTCTAACTTATAAAATTTGTCTCTGATTAGGTGATGCAATTGAAAAGGAATTTCGACCCGTGGACGGTCAGAAAAAGACAAGTGTTATTGTTAAGAACTTTTTTTCCTTTTCCTTTCAGGTGGAAGTGTTGTATTTTGCCAAAAGTGCTGAAATAGCAGGAACTCGATCTGAGACCATTTCTGTGCCACAAGAAATAAGAGCATTGCAGCTGTGGAATGAGATAGAAACTCTGCATCCTGGGTGACTGTTGTGTAGAGTGCACTTGATACCCAAAGCTATGTGAATGAAATATTTATGTAAAGGACAAAGTGTATTTTGATTGTCATGCCAAATGTAAAAAAGACCTATTAGGTCATTTTTCTGGAACAACTTTTAAAAATACACATTTTTCTGTATTTATAAATACACACTTAAAGAATTTAAAGATCTTTTAACAAACACTGAGCTGGAGTATTCTCAAATGGGTATTATTATATCTGCTTCTATTATTTATACAATGTTCAAAATGAAAGATTCACATTTATAATTTTATGATTGCAAATTAATTTTAAATTTTGTGCTTTAAACTTCTGTATCCAGGCCCTTTCTTAGAACATTCTTTACTTTCTTGAACATTCTTTACTCCTTTTTGCTAGGAACTTTTAGCGACCCCAGGTATACAAAAATAGGTTTACGAACCAAACAACTGATAATAAATCATTTATTTTCAAGCCTCCTCCCTAGCCCCATTGACCCTAACCCCATATTGGATCACTATGCACAGATTTAGAAGCTAGGTAGGACTTAGAGAATTCAAAATAGAAATTTAGAAGATTTTTTAAAAAGAAACAGATAAGTCCCAGCTGTTTGTTAACTTTTTTGCAACGTTTTGACTTTGTGGTTCTCTAAATTTGCTGTTTTTCCTACCTCAAGTTCTCTTTGAACAGAGTACTGAAACTGGTTGATCTGAAGCTGTTCCAAAAATATAAATGGTATTGGGCTGGAGCAATAGCACAGCGGGTAGGGTGTTTGCCTTGCATGCGGCCAACCCGGGTTCGAATCCCAGCATCCCATATGGTCCCCTGAGCACTGCCAGAGTTAATTCCTGAGTGCAGAGCCAGGAGTGACCCCTGTGCATCGCCGGGTGTGACCCCCCCAAAAAAAGATAAAGAATCAAAAACCAAAAATAGAAATGGTTTTCATATATATGTGTAAAACATACATCATGACCATCCTGTTATTCATCGATTGCCTCGAGCAGGCCCTAGTAACGTCTCCTTCGTCCTAGCCCTGAGATTTTTTTAAAAAGTGCCATATTCAAGGCTCTTTCAGAGTTAGGAGAATGAGACCTATCATTGTTACTGGTATTTGGCATATTGGGTACGCCACGGGGAGTTTGCCAGACTCTGCCGTGTGGGCAGGTTACATTCGGTAGCCTGCCAGTTTGTCCTGTTCTTGACTTATTCCTGTCATATTCATAAGCATATAAAGCTTTATATATTGTTATGTACTTCTACTTTTCATTAGATGTCTTAGTATTCTAGGATAGGAGATCCTACCATTTCAAATTGGTGCTTTTAAGCCTTTTCAACCATAAGTGAATTTCACTTATGGATTAAGTTCTTCTAACCTCATTTCATCAACCATTTAAACTTTATGAATGGGAATAATCAGGAAGGAGGCTACCCAGAAGGTCGTAGGTGCAAGGATTTGTTACCTACCCCTGAATAAAGCTACAGTGTTTCCAGTTTTCATATCCTAATGTACTTTTACTGTTCTAAATGTTAGGGACAGTGTCCAGAAAAGACTTAAATTCTGATTAGCAACTTTGGCTTCTGACAGGGAGGAGATAGACTTTCACTGTAGCTGTAGAGCTCACTCTGGAAATAGGAGAATAAAAAATGATACTGCAAAATTCGAAGCGGGGTTATGTAACTGTTTTAACTTGGACATCCTAGGGACTTATAAGGTTATCACATCATGTATTTTCAAAGGAAAATCTACTCCTTGAATTGACATCTTTTGAGTTGCCCTTAAGTGTCCTGACGAAGCAGCAATAGATCACAGGTATGCTACTCTGATAAAGTAGAGGAGCACCACTGCTTTGGAGCACCAATGTCCTAATTTACCTTAAACCTTTAACCAGCTAGAAGATACTGGTCTTGCGGGAAACATCCTTGCTATACTTAGTGCGTTTATACACTTTGAGATTCCTGGGGAGCATGTGGACTCAACAGGACATTTTTCTTGATTTTTTTCCTTTTCTGTTTGGGGGATCATATCTGGCAGTGCTCAGGGCTTACTCCTGGCTCTGTACTCATGGATCAACTATGACGGGTTCAGGAGTCCATATGGAATGCTGGGTATTGAACCTTCCATAGGCTGGATAAGTACCCTGTCCTCTGTACTATCCCTCTGGCCCAAGACAGACATTTTTCTTTTCTTTTGACCTGGTGTGAATGTGTCTCTTGTTTAGTTATTATTTGGATGTCTGGTTGTTGGTTGAATTCCACAAGATACACAACATCCAAGTGAGGACTGTTTGTGGTTGATTTTTTAAAAAATTATTTTAGTAGGACTACATAGACAAAGGGCTGGAGCGATAGCACAGCGGGTAGGGCGTTCGCCTTACACGCGGCCAACATGGCCGACCCGAGTTCAATTCCTCCGCCCCTCTCGGAGAGCCTGGCAAGCTACTGAGAGTATTCGATATGCCAGACACAGTAACAACGAAGTCTCCAATGGAGACGTTACTGGGCCCGCTCGAGCAAATCGACGATCAACGGGAGGGCCTTTACATAGACAAAATGCTGTTAAAATTTTTTGTAGTTGGACTTCAGTGGATGTTCCTTTCTGTATAGAAAGAGTCAGATTATTGACTTCCAGATGATGCTTCAAAAAATAAATTTCTGCAATGTTTTTGATTACTGAAGAGATTTGAGGCCTAATTGAGCATTGGTGGTTCTAATTTTATTTTTTATTTTCCTCTTCAGATTGGCTGATGTGAAAAATCAGGTGATATTTGCTGTTCGTCAAGAATATGTCGAACTTGGAGATCAACTTCTCCTGCTTCAATCAGGAGACGAAATTGCCATTATCCCCCCCATCAGTGGAGGGTAACAGTGCTTTGGAGCCACTTGGGTACGTGAAAAGTACTTTCTTTTTTTGGAGGGGGAGGGCACTCCTGATGGGTCTTAAGGCCTATTTCCGGTTCTGTGCTTGGGGTTCACTTGTGGCAACACTTAGAAGTCTAGTGGGTATTGGGGATGAAATCTGCCCCCCCCCCCCTTTACAAAACATTTGCTTAGCACAAAATATGTTCTTAAGTCAGTCTTGTGGAGAATCAGGAGGAATAATGTGGTTTGTTCTTTTGTATACTTTTTGTACACTAACACTTTATTGAAGTGGGCAACTCTTTTTTTTTAATTGAATCACTGTGAGATACAGTTACAAAGCTTTTATGTTTGAGTTTTAGTCATACAATGTTGAACATCCAGCCCTCCACCAGTGCACATTTTCCACCACTAATCCCCCCCAACCCCCCATCCCAACCCTCCTCCTGCCTCTATGGCAGACAATTTCCCCCATTCTCTGTCTCTACTTTTGGGCTTTATGGTTTGCACTATAGATACTGAGAGGCTATCACGTTTGTCCTTTATCTACTTTCAGCACACATCTCCCATCCCGAATGATTCCTCCAACCATCATTGACTTGGTGATCCCTTCTCTATTCCAGCTTGAAAGGGCAACTCTTTATTGGTGCAGAAAATCTACTGTCTATCTACACAAATATGCATATATATGCACATATAACTTTGCATCAATTCTGTTTCTGCTATTGTTATTCATTATTGCAAGTAGTTTAATGTTTGTTTTATATGTTCATTCTATTCACTTAACATGGTTTAAGACTTTATAGGGCCAGAGAGATAGTACAGTGGGTAATGTGCTTGCACTCAGCCAGCCCAGGTCAATTCCTTTTAGCCCCATCTACCCTTAGTCTCCTAGCCCCTCCAAGAGTGAGCCCCAAATACTGAGCCAGGAATAAAACCTAAACTTCACTGGGTATGGCCCCCAAACAAGTAACTAGAAAAGACTTTACTGTGTCTCAGATACAATGCTGTACACTGGAGTGGTAGTATACTTATTTTGAAGGAGGGGAAACAAATTTTGGAGATGTTAAAAAGCTTATCTATGAGCACATAAGTAGTAAGTGAATGGCCCAAGTCTTGAGCTCAGATTATTGGTCTATGTTCTTTTTCATCATGGTAATAACTCTCCTGGGCAGAGAAATGCAGAAAACGTCACAGCTGGCAAACAGATGCCTGTGCCTAAAAAGAGAGTTGAGGTGGCTGTGTGAACCTGTCCTCTTTTCAGATATATGAGTAGGGTGATAAGTAAGAACATTTCTCAGTGTAGTCTGGAGAGGCTAATTCGTTGTCAGCTGAAGAATTGAATATTGTGGAGAGTAATGTAGATCCAAAGCTCTTGGTAAGTTAGAAATAAAGGAAAGCTTTAACTTGATAGGGTTTTTCTTTCCCCAAAATGAAGAGAAAATATTAGTATACTCAGTAACAAAAAGTGGGGTTTAAGTTTTCAAAGGAACAAGCTAAGGGTTATTGTTTTTCCCCATCCCTTCTAACACACACACACACACACACACACACACACACACACACACACACACAGATGTGCACTTGCATGTTTGCAAGGCCTCTTAGAGGTCAGAGCCACAGAAAGTAAAAAATAAATGGTGCAGAGCAAATAGTTCAGCAGCATCTGTCATTAAAGGGGTGTGTGATGATGATTAGAGTTGTTCTTTGGAAAGATTAGGAAGATTAATTAGCATTTTGTATTATTTGAACATGTTTGACAGGATCTGTCTGTAGCATGTAATTTTAGGACCACTATGTTCTCACGGATTCAAACTATGGGAACTCAGTGTGATTTGAAGTTCATAGACCACATTCGGGTTATCTCTGTCTTCCTGCATTAAAAAGAAACTCAGGTAGCTTGTACAGGAGGTAAACAGCCAGGAATCAAGTGTTACACGTGAAGTAATTTTTTTTTTTAAGTAACTGGAAGGAGACAGGGTAAAGAACATTGCATTTTGTACTTTCTTTGGTTAATCTTGACTGAGTCCTTAGCTGCTTGAGGCTTCTTTCTCGCATCTTTCAACAGACACGAAGGCTCACAAGTTTACGATGATATTCAGAATCCTTGTGATCTGCAAGATCCACCCCGCCTGCCTATTTTCTGCCCCTGTTCTCCCTTGCTCTCGGTTCTGGTATTCCGAAGGTTCTGGAATGCTCTATGTTTTTGTCTCAGAGCTTTTCCATTTGTCTTTCCCTGACTTTGCAGAGGGCGGGGGTGGGGAGGATTCCTCTAGAAGGATGCTTTTTTCTGGGGCAGGGAAGATAGGGCTCCACGTCTGATGGTGCTCGGGGCATCCTACTGGCTTTGGGTACAGGAGTTGTTCCTGGTTGGGTATCAGGGGACCCTTTGGAGTACCAGGATCGAAACTGGGTGCAAGTGCAAGGCAAATGCCTTACCCTCTGTATTATCTCTCTAGCCTGCTAAGGAAGCATTCTTTCTTCTTAGGTCTTCACCATAAATATTACATCTTGAGGGGGCATCCTTCCATGATGCTTTAGTCTCAGAAAACTCCTTCTCAGCCCTCAGCTTCTGTCTCAAAAACTTTTATTTCTCAGAATTTCCCTCTTTGTAATTTCTATTTATTGTTTCCCCCCTTCCACGTGAGTGTACTGGACAGGAGTCTGTGTCTTTTGTTCCCTGGTCTATCTCTAATGCACTGGGTAGTGTCAGACCCTTAATGAGTTTGTAGTAAATATTCCATAGATATGGGCGGGAGAGCTATTGCAACAGGTAAGGCCCTTGCCCTTCACACCATCAACCTGGGCTTGATCCCCACTTGGTACCTTGAGCACTGCCAGGAGTGATTCCTGAGTACAGAGCAAGGAGTAAGCCAGGTGTGATGCAAAAACAAAACAAAATAATATCCTGTGGATAAAATGAAGATGGCATAGCAAGACACAGCCCTTGGCGAACTGGGAATGCAGTTCATCCCCTCATTTCCTCCAGTAACCGGGCTTGTGCTGAGGTGAACCCCCTCCCTGCAGAGATCTGCTCTCCCTCCTTTTTCAAAGGTGGTTAGTTGGTGGTGAAAGGTGGTGGATGTGCTTGTGGAAGTGGGTGGTGATATCTCTGCTGTACTGTGAAGAAGGGAGACGGGTAGGCATTTGAGAATTCAGAATACTGGGATATGAGAGAGTATGTTTTAAATGATCATTTTTAGTGGAAAATTCCTTTTGATGCTGTGCTTGATTTATTAGAGATATTTAGACATACATGGACTTTGGCTGAAATTTTAACCTGTGTGCAGTGAATCAAGTAGCAACATGCCTCTGAATCCATATAATGTAGAAAAATTGTAAGTCGAGACACAGCCTGGTAGTTCAGTGTTTTGCCTCTGGTTCCTATGTTAAGGCTTATTAATATCTTATTTCTAGGAAAGATGTGAATGAAGTAGAAGAGAAATCTAAAGATATAATAAAATTCACTGCTGAGAAACTTTCAGTAGATGAAGTCTCACAGTTGGTGATTTCTCCACTCTGTGGTGCAATATCCCTCTTCGTAGGTGAGTTGTAATTTTCACTGCATCTATTGACTGCACAAGACAATGTAAATGAGCGAGTATGTCCCATGTTCCGTATTATTTAGAGGATTTGAAGACTGGAATAGTAAACCAATATTACCAATTGAGGACCGGAGAGATAGTACAGTGGGTAGGGCATTTACCTTGCACATGACTGACACGGGTTCGATCTCCAGAACCCATATGGTCCCCTGAGCACTGCTAAGTATGGCCCAAAAAACATCAACAAATGGGCTGGATCAATAGTACATCAGGTAGGGTGTTTGCCTTACACTCGGCCAACCAGGTTTTAATCCCCGGTATCTCATGTGGTCCCCTGAGCACTGCAAGGAGTAATTCGTGAGCATAACCAGGTGTGACCCAAAAAGCAAAAATTAAATAAATTGAAAACAACAGCAACAACAAAGATTACCCATTGAGAGGGTAAACATTTTTATAGTTTTATATTTTTATGTTCGTAAACTTCAAATGAAGGATAAAAATCTTTATTAATTGAAAGAATCCTGTATTTTCTAAATACCAATGAGAAATGATATAATTTGATAGTAATCCTGATAACTTAGTTTTTCTTCATATATATTAAATATCAGGTATACATATATATTTTTCAAAGATTTTTACTCTTATAGCTTGTCCTGAGTGTTTTCACAGTGTCTTTCATCAATGTCATTTTATTTCCTTAATGTTATGGTAATTATCATTTGTTTTTCTAATTAGGTTTTTTATTTTCATAGAAAATTGCAACTTTTAGTGAAATTATTGTGTTACTTGTTTATTTAAAAATCCATTTTTATTTATTTATTTTAAAATTTTTATTAGTGAAACACCATGAGGTACAGTTGTAGACTTACAAATTTTTGTGCTTGGGTTTCAGTTATATAATGATCGAGTACCAGTGCCATTTTTATTTTTCTAATAAGTCTGTTTCTTTTTCTTTCCCTTCTTATTTTTGTAGGGACTACAAGAAATAACTTTGAAGGGAAAAAGGTCATTAGTTTAGAATATGAAGCATATCTACCAATGGCAGAAAATGAAGTCAGAAAAATTTGTGCTGATATGAGACAGAAGTGGCCCGTGAAGCACATTGCTGTGTTCCACAGACTTGGGTACGGTACCCTTCCTTGGCATGGAAGTGATGCTCAGTGTTCATGACCTCTGCGCTCATCCCGATGGCGGAGTTCTGTAGGACCAGGAGAGGATGGTTTGTGTATTACTGGGACCTAGAGACCCAGCTCAGGAGACACAGCGCGCCTGTTGGGGGGAAACACATGGCGCACGTTTTACCCGGGCTCTGAGCCCAGCAGCCCGTGCTGATGTGTGCTAGAGTCCTCAAGGCCTTTTCAGCTTGGCTCTGTCAACTGAACTGTTGATCTCAAAGTCAGCCAACAGTTTTTTTTTTTTTAATGGAAGTGTGTTGGAATAACATGAAATGAATTTGCCTTTATCTCCCACTAAAAGGATTATAGTTCTAACTTGTAAAAAGAATCTAGCAATTGAGATTCATATAACTTCTTGTTAATTTGTTTTTAATAACTTGTTTTGTTAATAGCCAGTTAATACATTAATAACCAGTGTTAGCAGCCCTTTAATATTTATTGCATGAGTATGGCACAGAACCTAATTTTAAATTCTGTGCTATTCTCATTGTGCATTAACTTTTTTTTTTAATTGACTCACTGTGAGATACACAGTTACAAAGCTGTTGATAATCAGGTTTCAGTCATACAATCTTCCAACACCCATCCCTCCATCAGTCCATCACTGTACATTTCCCACCACCTGTGCCCCCAGTTTCCTTCTTGACATCTCCCTCCCCCCCATCCTATCATTCTATCCCTGTGACAGTCTCTCTCTTTCTCTCTCTCTCTCCCACACACACACACACACACTCTCTCTCTCTCTCTCTCTCTGACCCTCTCTGTCTCTCTCTCTCCCTCTCTCTCTTTGCCCCGCTCCCTCTCCATTTCTCTCTCTTGCTCCCTCCTCTTCCCTTTCCCTCTCTCTCTACCTCTTTCCTTTCCCTTTTGGGCACTATGGCTTGCATACAGATACTGCAGGGTTATCAGGTTTGTTCCTTTCCCTACTCTGAGCATGTGGTTCTGATCCAGAGTGATCATTTCCAACTATTTTTGGTATCGTGGTTTCTTCTCTATCCTAACTGCCTTTTCTCAGCATTGCCCTTCATTAAGGGCAACTTTTGGTTTGAATCAGATATTTATTGAATTTGTGAAAGGTCCCATTCTTGAGGTCTCTTATCTTCTTAAACAGGCTTAACAGATAGATGCTAACAGATTTGGCACCATGTAAATACCCCGTCTTAATGAAACTGGAATGAATCGCTCTTTCCTAATATAATTGGATGTTTACAGCAGAACTGAATATTTAGTTTTAGAATGGCATCACTGGAACTTCTTTTCACGTACATAGTAAATCTTTAACATGTGACTCCAGAGGAGATGCTGAATTCATTTCTTCATTCTGTTAAGCCTAGTTCCAGTGTCAGAAGCAAGCATAATCATCGCCGTCTCCTCAGCCCACAGGGCTGCCTCTCTTGAAGCTGTGAGCTATGCCATAGACACTTTAAAGGCCAAGGTGCCCATATGGAAAAAGGTAAGTTAAGAAAATAATCCAGTTTTGCAATTTGGGACATGACTTTTCTCAGAATTTTCAAAGGCTGAGGAATGAAGAGTACACACAGAATTTGTGTGTATGGGTTATCACCTGAATCTTTATGCATCCTGTTTTCTGTATCTTTGAAATAGATATTTAGTGATAATCCTCTTTCCCAGGACTGTTGTGTATTTAAATTTATGTCCCAAAGAATGCATAGCACGGAGTTGACCTTAACAAGTGATAGCATTGAAAATTTCTCAGTCCATGCCTGTGATCTACTTACCTTGGACTAGAACTCCATTAAGACCAACAATCTTGTCTTTGAGAAGTGAGTATGTGACTGCATAAGCAGGTGCTGAAAGAGATCCTTCAAGACCAAGGAGCCTTCTTCTAGAACCAAGTTTTAGGAGGAAAAGAGGGTGGGGGGGGGGGGGTTACTTCCTCATAGCAAAGTTATACAAAGTGGCTTTTAAAATACAAGTAGGAAAAAAAATAAAGTCAAGTAGGAAATTCTGCGTTGTTTGCTGCCAGTACATCAAATCATAAAGACCAAATTGAGAGTATTTCTCCCCTATTGTTGCTGCATTGGTAGTGGGATTGTTCTGTCCTCTCACCCATGTGCATTGAAGCTTTTGCGATTCTAAAATCACGTTGTGGGTGACTGCGAAGCAGAGGAATGAATTTATTGACTGAGGAATTTACAGCTGAGAAATGAATTCCTTGGCTTCCCTGAGGAGCCCACTGCCCTCGGCCGTGCTATAGCTGGATGTGCTCTCCCCAGGACCTCTGAAACCTGGTGACTGACTACACGATCGCAATGAAAGTTGAAATCCATTCCTGTGAGGGTCTCCCTGGGGATGCGAGGATAGGGTATGTGGCTGAGACAGTCTTAGGAGAACTCACTCTCATGGTTACTTTCCTGGGAGCAAGACTGTTGACAGGGCCCTGGAGAGCGCGAGACAGAGCAAGACAGAGCTTGGCTTGCTTGATCAGCCAGGCACAGTGAACACCCGGCCAATAACGCAGGCAAGAGCTAAGGACAGGCATTGGGGTATATTCTTGTTTTTGACTTTGAGGACTCTGGGACTTTTATTTTTCTGTTTGTCAAAGGTAGGAGGTCATAAAGGTATTCTGAGGACCATTGAATTTGGATTCTTCTCCCTCAGAAATAGAATCCAGTTGGAGAGTGTGAAAAGAATGTGTTATGTTCTTACTCCCTTTTCTTCCAAAATTATCTCCATTCTAACCTAGTTCTAGTCCAGCCTGTGATTTGAGGTCACCTGTGGTTAGGCAGAGGGTGTCTCTCTGTGTAGCTCACTTCCAGGCAGCTGTCTAAGCAGTACAGACCTCTGACGTACTCAAGAGTTTCTGAAGGTGGTCACTTAATTTTACAGGAATGGAAACCTTTTGGAAACCTTTTGGCCTTTGGGAAAACATATTTAAGAATGTAAGGTGTATTCAGAAAGAAAGAAAATATATAGATATAAATATGTATGTGTATATTTTGGGAGGGACATACCCAGTAGTACTTAGGGCTTATCCCTGGATCTTTGATCCAAGATTATTCCTGGCAAACTCAGGGGACCATTCGTGTTTCTGGGGATCAAACTGGGTTTGACTGTGCAAGGCAAGCACCCTCCCCGCTGCACTGTTCCTCTGGCCCCAGAAAAAGAAGTTTAAAACTGAAATTTCTTCTGTGTTCTGTATACCCTTGCCTCAAGCTGCTGCTGACCTGATCCCAGGTGGAATTAATTGCTTACGAGTCATCACAGTACCCCTGGGGGACTGGTTCCGGTACCTTCCTCCCATCTCACACTGTAGTACCTTGTAAGAAAAATAGCCTGGTTTGCCCTGTGATGATTTGCATATACCCTGTGTGCTTCCTCACATGTGCTTTCAATGAATTTGCAGCCTTTTTATTTATTCATTTATTTATTTATTGGAATTCTGGAATTTTAATAATTAAATCTGGAGGGATTTCTGCCAAAAGCCTCTGGATTTCGAGATTTGTTTCTTAGTCTCTGGGATCATGGCCATTCAGCAACTCGATCAGGAACCAGAGTGGCTGTTCGTGGGCAGCGACTCAGGGAGCAGCTTTTTTTTTTTAAATACTTGCAGACCTCCTCAGATCCCATCGACTGGCAGTCAACAACTTCTGCTGTAAATCATCTTTGGATTATTTGCAATCCCTACTACAATGCAAATAATCTGTGAATAGCTGCTGTACTGGGTTGTGGAAGGAGCAAGGGCCAGGGGAAATGTCTGTACCTTCTCAGTACAGAGGCAGCCTCGGGGGCTCGAGCCCCACGGCCCAGGGTTTTCTCTGTTGGTCGTGGGATGAACCATAAAGGGCAGAAGCCAGGAGGCAGCCCTGGGCAGCGACTCTTTGTCACTTTGTGGTGACACCTTGTCAAGGGCTTGTCTCTCATTCTCCATTTGCATTAGGAGTTTTTAAGTGTTGGGAACATGTGTATTTGGTTTTCTTCTTTTCAGTGCATTATACAAATGTTTATAAGAGGATTGTTAAAAGAGGAAAATATTTAGTAATGATATTCAATTGTCTGACTTATTCAATTATAGTTGCATTTATTAAAATGCTTTGTTTGGGGGGCTGGAGAGATAGTACAGTGGGTAGGGCATTTGCCTTGCATGTGACCAACCCTGTTTCAATCCCTGACATGCCATATGGTCCCCCGAGCACTGCCAGGAGTAATTCCTGAGTATAGAGCCAGGAGTAACCCTTAGGCATCGACAGGTATAGTCCAAATACCAAAAAAATAAAAATTAAAAAACAGTAAGATGCTGTGTTCTGAATAACTCGTATTTCTAGTGTTTTATTTTTATTTTTTTATTTTTTTAGGAAATGTATGACGAATCATCATCATCTTGGAAAAGAAACAAAGAATGTTTTTGGGCAACCAATGATTAAATTACATAAGCTTTTAGATTGCTAACATTGGTGAAAATTTCATCTTTGATCACGGTTTGTTTTTTCTTCTCCAAAAGTTAAGAGAGTTTATTGAAGCACGATCTCTTATACTGGTGGGATAAAAGAGAATGAAAGCAAAGTTAATGGGTTTGGGATAAGGATTTGTACAGGAACTAGAAATAAAGACTTTGGGGAAGAAATGGAAGGATAATTGTGAGCAGCAAAGCCTCTGGTAGAGGATCGGGTTCTAATGGCAACTTCCGGCACTGATGTGTGGCCCTGTCCCCGCTGCCTGTAACTGTCTCAGTGAGAACCTGTTTCCCCCAACTTCTCGGCCACTGACTAAACTTTCATGAGCAGTGCATTATGGGAGTGTTAGCAGAACTAAGAGTTATAAAAATGTGTTATCAGAGAGTCAATATTATTTTTCTTGGAATTTTTATATTTAAATGAGCTAAATAAAAATGTTTAAGTAGCATTTTCTTATTTTTAAAAAAACTCAGTGATACTTGATATAGATTTCTTATATTTTAGAATTGTAGCACTGTAGCACTGTCCTCCATTGTTCATCAGTTTGCTTGAGCGGGTACCAGTAACGTCTCCATTGTGAGACTTGTTACTGTTTTTGGCATATCCAATATGGGGAGCTTGCCAGGCTCTGCTGTGCAGGTGGGATACTCTCGGTGGCTTGCCGGGCTCTCTGAGAGGGACGGAGGAATCGAACCCAGGTCAGCCACTTGCAAGGCAAACGCCCTACCCGCTTGTTAATTATTAGCGTAGTATCAGTATGAAATCAACATAACATCATAGATGCTAGCAAACTCACTAGCAGTAAGGGTGCTTTGTGTTTACCATGTTTATTTAAATTTGATGTACACCAATTAAGGGAAAATCATATGGTTATTTAATATTTTCATATAGTGTTCGTTTTATTTGCTAAAGCAAAATAATCATTAATAAAATCATTGATATCTTTTTTGCAAGATCTGTTTACTAAGCAGTGATCTTGATTTTAGTGGTTTATATATACATTGCCAGTAGATCTGTAAGTTTCATAGTTTCCTTTAGATAATAAAATATCAGCACTATTTTGTACAGTTAATGTCATCAAAATATTTGCACTATTCTTATTGAGAACAAAGACTATGTTTTCAGATGCTTAAACTGCTTTCTTAGTAATATTGTCATATCTAATGAAACCTAGGTTTTTTTTAAGCCCAAGAATTCATTTATCAGTAAGTATTGAATTCCTGTTCTGTGCCAGGCACCAAATATGTCTTTAAGGAAATTTGCCTTTATTCAGTAGGCTTTATGTAAGTCTGGAAAAGAGACTATTTGACCTGTTTAGCTCTAATACAGATCTAATACAGAGATAAGGGCGTTTGCTGGGGCCTGCAGATAGTTGGATGATGTTTAAAGACCTTTCTTGGTGCGATGTAATGTGGTAGCTCTTCCAGCAGAGGGCAATAGAGCGAGGTTTTCAGTTGATTGCTGTTATAGAATTCAGTTGTTACCTGTTTTCTTTATTGTACGTTAGAATCATTCTTATATTATTACATTTTGTAGGAATAGTCCTTATATGAAAATGAATACTGTTTCTGTATAAGATACTGATTTTGTATAAACTCAGGGCCTCCTTTCATGTAAGCTTAGCCTATGAACAAAATCTTAAGTTCCAGTGATTGATCATTTGTTGTTCCCTTATTGTGTCTCTTTCTGGGAGGCGGGGGGTGGGGGTGGGCTCGGGCAGATGACCCACACTGGAGATGCACAGGACTTACTCCTGGCTCTGCACTCAGGGATCAATTCTGCGGTGCTGGTCAGTCCTATGCAGGCAAGCACCTTCCTCCTGCACCATCACTCCAGTTCCTTTTTTTTATCCTACATATGGTAGAGATCTTTTTTAAAAAAATTGTGGGGTGGCGACACCTACGTATATACAGATGAATTGAGCTCATCAAAAAACTTCATGAAATTTAAATTGATGATAAGCTGATAGAGTAATTTTTTTCCAAGTATTTTTAGAGGTATGTGATTTTTTAAAAATATTACTAATCTGCTAGTGCATTTTAAGATTTACATGAAATAGGTAAATACTGCAAATGTACAATTTAGTAAAAAAACTTAAGATATGTTTAATAGGTTTCTTTGTTTAAAATATTAAAGAATATTTTGGCCGGAAGAATAATGCGATGGGTCAGGTGCTTACCTTGCATGTGACCGACCCGGGTTTGATCCCCAGCATTCCTTATGTTCCCCTGAACTTGCCAGGAGTAATTCCTGAGCTAAGAGTTAGGAGTCAACCCTGAATACCACCAGGTGTATCCCAAAACCAAAAAATCAGAGAAATTTTGATGAGAGAGCTTTTGTAGGTTTTACCTTTTTTCAGGGTGGGGCTTCCCAAACAGTGCTCAGAAGGTTTTGGGAGCCCCACCTGTGATTGTCAACCCACCAGGCCCTAGGCCTGAGGGTGTGATGTGATGCACTGCTGTCCAGGTGTCCAGGTAGCCCGATCATCATCAGGGCCTCCAGGGCTGCACCTGGACCATTTGGTGCCTGGAATCAAACCCAGACTGGGTGCCATGCCTCCTAACTGCTGTACCATCTTCCGTCCCACATTTGTAGATTTTTTTTTTGCAAGCTGATGTAGAAGAAATAGGAATTTTTATAAAATGACTTTACATTTTAGCACAAAATGGTTGCTTTAGGGCAGGCCTCCAGCAGCAATTCATAACTTCTGTGACTAAAGAGATTTAGTGTTTTTTTTTTCCTTCAGTGTTGTGTTTTAATGGCAGATACACATCAGACATACTTCCTGATTGTTATGCAATACACTGCCCTTAGGATTTGGTTCAGGAAGCAGGGTGGGGCTGGGGAGAGCTGAGGAAGGGTGCCAGCAGCTGATTGGGGATTGGGAGATAACGGGCTATACAACCCATCCTCTGCCAGCCCTCCTGCTAAGAGTATTTTAAAAATTAGCCATGCAGATGAATGCTCTTGCCTGTGACTTTTTCTAGGCACATATTTCACTTCCCCAACTTTAGCTGAATATAAATCATAAAGAGATTCCCGGATACTTGCGATAGAGTGGAAAATTCACACCTAGGGGCTAACTTCTGAAGGCAGTTTATGGTTCCTGTAAAGCTGCTTGTGGGCACTCCTGATCATATCAGAGATCAGCACGTCACTCTCCCTTATGTGTTCTGAAGAAACTGAGCTTATAAGATAGATACAGTGAAATTATAAGTCACAAAATTCAAAACTCAATGTAAATACATTTTTCGGAACAATGTTTATGATACTCAGTAGCATGGTAAGTATGAAAATAGTGGTTTACAATAAAATATTTTTGCCTAAAATGATTCCTGTACTTGACTACAAAGCACTCAACTTATATACATAGATTACTACTACAATTTGATTTTTTTTTTTCAGAAACCAGAAGTTGTGCCATTTGATGTAACAAACATGCATACATTTGTTTTTTTTTTTTGTTTTGGTGGAGAGAAAAAAGGCAAAAACAGGTCAAACAAAAAGCAGATATACTTATCACATCTTAATAACAGTTATTCATTATAGATGAAGGACAATATCTAGACAATTTCTCTTTTTGAAATATACAATTCTAACAGTTCTGCAATATATACATTTATATTTTGACTTTATCTGCCAAAATAAATCAAGTACACATGAAACCATCTTTTTATATTGACATAATTGCTACATTTTCACCTTTTAAGGTTAAAAGTTGTAGTTAGCATTTTATTCCCCATGTTTACTTCTGTAGGTTTTACCCTTTCAGCTTGATTAAAATGGGTGAGTGTGAATGTTTATGAAGAGCATAGTCTTAAAAAGCTTTGCATATAATTATATCCTGTGTGCAAGTTTCATTAAAGTGGACCAGGGCTTTTGGTTTGAAAAGACCTGCTTTTAAAAAAATAGTTTTAATTCATGGTATTTTCACATATTAACTTTTAACTGAAGACCAGAATAAATTGTACTTGTAGTATAATCACTGTGTTCATGACAAATTGGATTTAGTTTTCTTTATTCACAGTTAATAGGTAACTTCTGCTATTTTATAAAAACAGTTCTGCCAGCTAGAAAACATCCCATGCAGTTCCTCTTTCCTCTAAGTTAAATGATGCACAATTTCACATGTCAGTATGGTTTCTTTACCAACCACTCGACTGTAGTTCTATTTCATGCTTATGTGTAGTCATGCATGAAGCAACTCAGTTTTTAACACATTTTATGAATCTTTGTATACCATTTATAAAATGGAAACTTCCGTGTCTTGTAAACTCCCTACCCTACTTACTTTCGAAACAAAAGCGTGACTGAATAGGGAATACATAATCTCTCCAGACTATTTTTTGTTCTTTGATGTCTTGGGTGAATACAGTACGTCCAGTTAAGATTGCAGATGTGAAACCAAACCAAATCCCCAAATTTATATTTTTTCACTCAAAGTAGGTGTGTCCTGCCATCCAACATTACAATGAAATGACAGTAAGTGGACCATATTGTCGAAGGACCAGCTTTAGAAATAAATACAATCCAGAGCCTCTATCTCAGACGTGCTCTCATAACAGATGTTGCCTATTTGGGGCACCTTGCCCTTCAGTGCCGAGGTTCTCGCTTCTGCGAGGGATGACTTTGTCTCCCAGGAAGCCTTCTGCAGTGTCTGGGGAAGGTTTGGATTATTGGGGGCGCGGGGGATTGCCATTGGGAGAGGTACTCCTTGCATGTGGTAGGTAGAAACTCCTAGTTGGTAAGCAGAGGCAGACTTGCTGCTAAGCAGCTTACAATCCACAGGACCGTTGCCACCAAGTGAGAATCACCCAGCCCCAATGTCCCAATGTTAAAAGTGCTAGACTTGAGAGGCCCCATCTAATAGTGCAGAGAGATACAGCAGTTAACATGGTTTATTAAATATTCTTTACCCACTTTTATTTTTAATCAAACTTTTATACAGTGTTATAAAGATTAGGTCCTAGCACATCTAACTAGATGCCACCAGGCTGTTCCTGCTATGAAATCCTGCCGCTTTATGGCTGTTTTACTTGTTTACACAAAGTCACTGCAGTACAGACAGTTCTGACCGCTGCTCCAGGAGCCATGCTGGAGGGCAGTGAGGTGGCTGTACATGGGCAAAACCACTTTCTTCTGCCTCAGCAAAGTCAGTACTGGAGCACTGCACAGATGTTTACCTCTATCTGCCATAAGAATTCCGGCTAATAGACTTCTTGCTAAAAGCATCACTGCTGAGCTCTAATCCAGTTTTCCCACTTTATAAAGAAGAAACTGAAGTTTAGAGAGATGGAGTGACTTGTCCAAAGCTTCAGGTTTGCAGTTGCTGGCATAAAATAGTCCCTAGAACTTGGCCTGTGCCTCTTTGCTTCTAGTTTCTACCTGGAGAATGTGTGAACTCAGAGATGACAGAAGATGCTAAAAAAGAAAAAAGTAGAGACAGGGTGTTTCTCTGTGTGGTTCCTTGGCATCATAAGGACTGGGGTGTTTGGTAAAATACAGCTTATAGCCTCATCCTCATTCGATCAAAGAAGACATTCGGGCTAAGAATCAGATTTGTGAACACACTTGCCCAGGTCAGGCTCATTCCTCTGGAAGCCAAAGCTCTCAAAGATGCCAGCACAGGCACAGGGTGTACCTGCTGCCCTTGGACTTCAATGCAAATTCCTGAGATGACATTTGTTTCCTTCACTTTGTTTACACGGTCTGGAACTCCAACCACTAGAAACTTCCTTGGGCTTGCTTTCTTGCCTCTTTCTTTTCTTTTCTTTTCTTTTCTTTTCTTTTCTTTTCTTTCTCTTTTTTCTTTTCTTGCCTTTTTCTTTTTGCTTTTTCTTTCTTTCCTTTTTCTCTTCCCCCTTTTTCTTCCTTTCTTCTTCATTTCAGACTTCTTTAGCAGTAAATGAAAATAGCTTCCTAAAATTGAGGGATTCTGCAGTCATCCACAGATGTGTAAATGAACGAGCTGGACTTTTCCTTTCTTCCCCAGGAATAAAGGAGTAGCAGGAATGGCATAGGGGGGAGGCAGAGAGATGTGAACTGTGGAGAGAAAGGCTGACATCCAAGGAGACGGGGACCCCAGGAGGCAGCAGAGTGGCTCATCATAGGAGGAGGCATACTGGCAAAGAAACAGCTCATTTTGCAACTGTCAAAAGCCCCAGGTCCCTGGAAGCCAGTCATTCCAGTGCTGAAGATAGCTGTCCTCCCCTTCTTTCTCTGGCAAAGCTGGGACTCCAGCAAAGAGGATTTTACAGAAATATTGTTACAGATTTCAAACACTGTTTTTGCACTCTGAGTTCCAAACTCCTCTCCCTCTGGTGTCAATGTGTTGCTTCTGCAGAAGGCAAACCCTGGCTCCTGCCTGCTGTTCACGTGGTATGAGGAGCAAGAAAGGGGCTGGGAGGAGGCAGGCGTGGACCACAGCAAATTTCACCCAGTTCACAAATCATTCCTACAAACAGCTTCTGTTGCAACTGTGGATGAGCAGCCTAAGTCGAAGACTTGCTGCTTTATGTCCCACCTAACATCCAGGTCCAAGCTAAGGATCTATTTATACCGAGTATGCCCACTTCTGTAGTGGCTGTTTCAAAGCAATTGTTTTCAATGACTGGGATTATCCCTTGACTCCTCCCCCACCCCCCATTAAAAAAATCTGGGAAAGGTTATATTGAGGCATATTTGGAAGCATTTCATGTTTATAACACAACATATATTACATTGTAAACTCTGGACCTGCCAGTGTAAAGAATCACCCCCCCCCCCCCCCCGCCACCCTATATAAAATGTCTTTTTTTTTTAATAACCTTTTTACCCTTTACCCAGGTCCTAATTTCTTCTCAAACTGACCTGCAGTTTTCTAAAATAACATAGCAGGCGAGTTACTCCTTTATAAAATGCTGGGATTTTTTTTTTTTAAATCCATTTGTGCAAATCCTGATAGCGAAGCTGTCTCCATGACCGTGACAAAGGCTTGTTGGTGGCTTAGCTGTTGAGTTCTGTGGCCTCGTCAATCTCATCTGCATTTTTCATCATCTTTTCATACTTCCTTTTGAAGAAGCCAAGCTGTAAAAATGACAAGGTAAAAAATGTCACCACCTCTGAATTGCTCTGTGGGGCCCCCACCTGTCTTTTGCTTCAGACTTCACCTCCCGCCCCACCACACCCCAAACCCCGACCGCTTTTTTTAAAAAAAAATTTTAATGGCCGACCCGAGTTCGATTCCTCCACCCCTCTCAGAGAACCCAGCACGCTACCAAGAGTATCTCGCCCACACGGCAAAGCCTGGCAAGCTCCCCGTGACGTATTCGATATGCCAGACACAGTAACAATAAGTCTCACAATGGAGACATTACTGGGCCCGCTCGAGCAAATCGATGGACAACAAGAGGATAGTGATAGTGAATTTTTTTAATGGATTCTCGTTCCTCTCGGAGAGCCTGGCAAGCTACCAAGAGTATAGCCCGCACGATAGAGCCTGGCAAGCTCCCCATGGCGTATTCGACATGCCAAAAACAGTAACAAGAAGTCTCACAATGGCGACATTACGGGGTCCCCTCGATCAAATCGATGAACAATGGCATGACAGTGCTACAGTGCTACAATGGATCCCTGTGAGGTACAGTTACATACAGACTTATAAATTTTCGTGATTATGTTTCAGTCATACAATGCTCGAGTACCCATCCCTCCACCAGTGCCCATTCTCCACCAGCAGTGATGCCAATGTGCCTTCCTCCACCTCCATCTCATCCCCCCCACCCCTCTCTGCTTCTGTGGCAGTGCATAACCTTTTGGTCTCTCTCATTTTAGATGTTGTGGTTTGCAATAGTGGTATTGAGTGGCCATCATGTTTGGTCTATAGTCTATTTTCAGAATGCATCTCCCATTCCGAGCGGGCCCTCCAAGCACCCTTTACTTGGTGTTCCCTTCTCTATCTGAGCTGCCTTTTCCCCTAACATGTGAGGCCGGCTTCCAAGCCCTGGAGCAATCTTCCTGGTGCTTATCTCTACTGTTCTTGGGTGTTAGTCTCCCTTTCTGTTACTTTATATTCCACAAATGAGTGCAATCTTTCTATGTCTGTCCCTCTCCTTCTGACTCATTTCACTTAGCGCGATATTTTTCATGTTGGTCCACTTATATGCAAATTTCATGACTTCATCTTTTTCTAATAGCTGCGTAGTTTTCCACTGTGTAGATGTACCAAACACTCATCTGTTTTCAGGCACTCGGGTTTTTTTCCTGACTGCTGTGGTTGGGCAGGGCTAAGTTGGGTGCAGACCAATGCAGTCCCCCAGCCAAGAAACTGGTAGGTAATTAGAGACTTCAACTGAATTGTCTAAAGCGAAAATGTTTAGGGCCTACTTAATTGTGAAGCAAAGCATTCAGAGATCAGAATGACAAGAAAAGGCCCTCCCGTTGATCGTCGATTTGCTCGAGCGGGCCCAGTAACGTCTCCATTGGAGACTTTGTTGTTACTGTGTTTGGCATATCGAATACTCTCGGTAGCTTGCCGGGCTCTCCGAGAGGGGCGGAAGAATCGAACTCGGGTTGGCCATGTTGGCCGCTTGTAAGGCGAACGCCCTACCCGCTGTGCTATCGCTCCAGAATGACAAGAAAGTTTAGAAAAAAAAAATCAAGAAGACAAAATTTCTATTGTTTTCATTATAATATGAGTAAAGATTGCAAATCTTGCAGCTCCTTTCCTCCGAGGATGAAGGAGGTAACATACAAACTTTAAGGCTACTCTTTGATAAAGAAAATCAAGCCAGAGGTCATCAGCAATCTTGTATTTGAAAAATATGAAATTTCTCTTACCTTCCATAAAATTACAACCAGAACCAAGAGCAAAAGAAGTCCAGCAATTATACTCCCAACTATGACTCCAGTTGGTACTTCAGCTTTCTCATGGGGTTTCATTATAGTGAGGGGAATCTGTAAATGTACATAAAATAAAATCAAGTTCTCCAATGTTAGCACCCAAAGAGATATGGTGTAGTCAAACTCTTCAGTTCTATAACTATGGCTTAAAAGGTGAGCTGATTTGTTCATGATGGCAAACCTCAAACAGCCTTCAGCATAAATTCTAGAGAAAGTGCTTCTGCAAAATATAGTCAAGAAATACAAGTTTTCTAGCTTCCGTGATTTAATTGCACCTTTTTAAAAGCAGATAAGCCCTCTTAGACACATCAGATGCCTTAACTGCTTGTGAAGTAGGAATTTCATTTTCTGACATAGAATCTCCTGAAGCCAAAGCATCTGAAACCAGTCTTCAGGAAGAAAGAGTTAATCCCTTGTGATTAAGCAAAAGAAGAACTTTGCAAATACTGATTTCAATTGAAACCTCACTCAAGACTACCTGATATGAATTGTTAAAAAATGTAATATCTCAGAACTCACACTGACTTTCTCAGTTGTAAAACTATCCTTGTGATTCTTTGTTTACTTCCCACCAAACTTTGTGACTTAGTAATAGAATGGCTGCCCAAAGGGTTCTAATAAAAATCTCTAAAGGGTTTTAATTGCTGGAAGAATACAACTATCTCCATCACAAAGAGTCTACCTATCAATCTGTCCAGGGAACTACGCCCAGGTACTCCCACATGTAAGGCAAGTGGTCTACTGCTGAGATCCTCATCCTTGGACCCCAAATATAGACATTTGGGGGCAGCAACACATACTTAGTGTTGCTCAGAGGCTATTCCTGGCTTTATGCTCAGGATTGACCCCTTGTGGTTCTCTGGGGACCACATGTGTTGTGGATCAAATCAGGACCAATTACACACAAGACAATAGCGTACATGCCGTACTTTTTCTTCAGCCCCAGCGAACAAACCAGTTTATTTTTTTCTCTTTGGGTGATGCCAGGGATCAAAATGAGTATTTTTTTAATGCTGGAACAAGAACAAGGAGACAAACCCAATTGATTTACTTAATTTAGAACTGATTTCTAGCAGCATACAAGCTACTTTTGATCACAGAATTTATGAGTTGGCTAAACTTGAATGTTGCTTTATGGTGACTCCATCCTAATTTGTATCTTCATGAGCTAAAATAAGATCTTGTAAACTTAGGCAGAATGTGATTATAGATGCACAGAATTTACTGCATAAAAACAGTCAAATCCCTCCCTTTTTTCTATTCTATAACATCCTAATCTGAGATTCTTACATCAATAAAGATAATATGAGTCTACAACTTTGCATTCCATTTTTAAATGGCTATGGTATTCAAATACAATTTAAAACATTCCTTGACATGTCAGTTTACTATATGGATTTTAAATATCATCTTAAAAACTTTTAGAGATCCAACCATTGGCCTCTATTATCAGTCTTTCTCTGAAGAACAGCAACAGAAGAAAAATTTCCAAAAGATTTATTTGTATTTTCAGTTAAGACATTTAATGTTGCTTTCTAATAACACAGAGATTCCAGAGGCTCAGGTATTGTTGGATTTCCCCATTTGGGGGGAAAATGAACTGCCAGACTCCCTGTACCCTTCCTCCCCGTTCGAAGTACTGAACGACATGCCACGTCTAACTGTCCCCCCACCCAAGTGTGTCCTCACACCCCTGACTTTCCACACCCCGGTCTCTAAAGAAAGCCATGGGCCTTTGCTCGTGATCAAAAACCAGGGAAGAATCACATCGTCAATAGTGTGGAATCTCTTTTCGGAGGGCAAGAGGGGACAGGGGACTGGACTGTGAGTCATGGTGAGTTCACAACCCCATTAGCTTTTTAGACCAAGTCCTGAGACAGAGGCCAGGGATGAGGCCAGTAGCCAAGCCGGCCTGAGGTCAGAGCCCTGGACTGGCTTCCCTTTCTGAACAAAAGCCTGGGAAGGAAAACGCCCTGGGAGCCTGCAGATTTGCAAGCTATGGAAATCCCACTAGACCTAAATATGGCATATTCTATGGAACCGGAGTTTCAGGGCTAAGGAAAGTCAGGCTGTGCCAACTCTAGAAACAGGGAGCCATTGTTTTCTGTGAAAGAACATTTCTTCACTTTTTTTTTAAAATCAAGGGTTGCATTTATGATTTTCTAGACTGGAAGACCTAATGAATGGAAGTCTCACCAGTTCACACAGTTTCAGTGTCTAGTTTTAAGGGTTGCTACTTAAAAAATGAAGACATCCTTTACTCAATTTTTATATATCAAGCACACCACAGAATTTCTTTAAAATAAAATGCAATACAAACTTCAAAATAAACACGATTCAGATATGGTGGCTGAAGATCTCAAGTGTTATTAGTGAACACAAGGAGAAAGAATTGATGTTGGGGGTGAGAGCAGCGCTCCATGCCTTTCACCCAAAGGTCACTTCTGACTCAGCTTTGCAGCACGGGACTGGGGCAAGCGGAGAGAAGCAAGTGGACCCAGGAATTGTCGGGAGCAATGAAAACCTTCACCAACCGCCCAGCATAACAAATAACAGGCTTTTTTAGAGTTTCAGTGAGATACTTGTACAGACTTGCAGGTAGAAGAATGACTGTCCTAAATTTTCAGAAAGGCAGTGCCAACACTCTGGGAAGCTCTTCAGCTGCAGGCACTCACCGTGACGGCGTTTTCTTCGATCACATATATTTGAGGGTTGTAGGTGTCAATTTCTGCAGCTGCCGTCAGCTGGACCGTCTGGAAGGTTGACTGGAGCAGGGAGATAAAGATTAGATTTATTCTGGCAAAGGGAATGCATGAAAGGTGCAGGTCTGCAGTTTTATTTCCTTGTGGGAAGTGACAAGAGCAAATAGTAACTCCGAAGCCTCAGGAATCTTTGTGTGCCTCAACTCTTGTGTGGGACAGAGCCAGTCCTGAGAAAGGACCTGGGGAATGTTGACACCTGGGGATCCTTGGGCTGGGCCACAGTAAATGAGCCCACAGCTCCAGGAGGTAGGGTTCAGACATCAACCAGCTCAAACCTCTCCCCAATGATTGGAACTGGAAACAGGGATGTACAATGGAGTTTTTAATTGAGAAAGATTATAGTCCATTACTTAAAACATAATAAAGTTGATAACATGAGAGAAAATTGTGAATGACCACTTTTTTAAAAAATATACTTAGTTGACTAAGTTACATAATAAAATGAAAAATAAGATTAAAGCAGGAAAAGAATTTTTCTTTTGGGCACACATGTGCAAAATAACACTGTGTGAAAGTACATGTGAACTTGATCAGACCTGTCAGCAGATACTGTGAAACTGACACTATACAATATGAGTATTAATTCCAGATTTCCTAATGTAAGTATTTCTATTTTTTTTAAAGTAATGGAAGGGCTGGAGAGACAGTACAGTAGGTAGGGTATTTGCCTTGCATGCAGCCCATCCGAATTTGATCCCCAGCATCCTATATGGTCCCCCGAGCGCTTCCAGGAGTAATTCCTAAGTGTATGAGCCAGGAATAACCCCTGTGCATCGCCAAAAAGAAAAAAAAAAGGTAACTCTGGAACTCATAACTTTATTTGCAGCAAGACAATCAATGCCCAGGTTTAAAACCTCCCTTCACATGCACTGCTACGATGTCTTCGTTTCCCTAGTAACCAGGGCCATGAGATCATTTACAAAAACTCCATCTGGGAGCCAAGAAGAGGGCGCACCCCGCCAAAGGGTGAGCAGCGTGTTTCCTTTCCACTAGCTCAGTCCCTGGCTAATTGTCTTGATTTTTTCAAGATGGAAGATTGCTTCCGCAGCTCACCCTGGTCACTTGTCTCAAACATTTTTACGGAAATATTTAGAGTACTTGGGTCTCATTCCCCTGACCCTGAAAGAAACCTTCAGTGTGGCACTTGCTAAAATCTCAGGTTTAGTACGAAGGGAGACATTACTGTTGCCTGCTCGAGGAAATCATTAAACAACGGGATGAGAGTGATACAGTGATATTTAGAGTACTAAAAGGGCTTAACATTTTTTTTAAGGAGAAGCTTTGTGCATGGTGATTTCATAGTCCCTATAGACAGAGGATGAAATAACTGTGAGGCCATTCACCCCCTGCGAGAGAGATTTTTTTCAGGGTAGCATGTAGGAGTAGGTAAACCAATTACACAGCGGAAAGAGGTAGATAACTTCACCTGCTTGCATTCAGTATGACTCTCAAATGGAACCAATAATGCCATCAATTTGGAGGCTCAAGCAGTCATTTGGGGGGCTCACAGCACAGTGCCTCAGGGGACCAGGCAGTGCTGGGGATCAAACCCAGACCTCTTGCACGCCAAGCATGCACTCAGCACCTTGTTATCACTCTACAGTTCCTGAGCAATCACTTTGTGATGAAATTGCCTGAAATGTTGACTTTCACTACATCAGAAAATGGGTAAAATGGGCTCTAATACAGGAAATGAGATCCATATTTCAGACTGGATCTCCTCAGTGGTCTGAGAACATCCACTTTGCTGTTGAAATAGCTGAAAACAAGGTAGGGATAAATGTTTGACGGTGCGTAAAGGAAGATGTGTGGCAGCTGATAGACAATGCCTCTCCCAGGCCTTTTTTTCAGGTCAACAACCGTCATCACCATGTTGAAAAATCATAAATAATACACTTCGGTATTTGGCTCTTAGAAGTGAAATTGCTGCTTCTGAAAAACCTTTGGGAAAGTACTTCAAAAGGCCTAGCAGTGAAAATGACGTAGCTTTAAACACACTCAGGAAAAACCAAATGCTTTTTACAGAGCCAGAGTGACTGCATTTTGATTTGCAGCCGCCAGTTTTCCTTCCCAGCTGGCAAAGTTTGCTATGAAAACATTTGTTCCTCAAATCCAAGGAGCCAAGAACCAACTAGCAAAAGTGACTGATGCACGGGTTTAGCTGGGATGGTGGGATGGCTAACTCCTCATCTTAAAGGTCAGGGCTATGCTCCAGTCTGGAAACCAAATGCAACAAGAAAGAAACACATGAGAAGATGAGAAGCAAGCCCAGCTCTTCACTTCTCACCTGCCACTTCACTTCTCCATTTCCCCATGCCTGACACGATTCTCTTCCCATGACATCTGTTTGAAGCGGAATGGGGGGGGGGGGGGGGGGACTGGGTTTCACATAGCAAAGCATGCACTCTATTACTGAGCCATATCCAGCCTCTCTGTTAATTCTTCCTCCAAGAATATTTCCTGTATTTTGGCTCATGGGTCAAGTTCAGAGGAGGGAGTGTAGGTCTCTAACCTTACATAAAATCACAGAATGTGGTTTGTTGGTGACAACATGTAACGGTCAACAAGCAGAGAATAAGGAACAGTAAGGTGGTAAGCACCACAAAGACTGATTTCTTCATTAAAAAATTCACTGCAAGTGCCCTTGGAAATTTCTGATAAATTTCTAGTTTGCTGCCTGAGAGTCAGTGTTGTGAAAGGAATAGTTCCTACATTTGCAGCCAGTTTAAGGAAGTCAATCTATCCTTATATTGTTTTATGCCACACTGAAATCCTAGAGATGGAAATCTTTGCTGAAAGAGGATCCTTCCACTGCAGAGCCACACCTGTCAGACAGAAAGCCACACCAAGTTTAGACCTTTGTGCGAGCATCTTCCAGAGATGGAAATGACTCACTCCAAAGGAGCAGGAATACTGTGTTTTCACCAGAGAAAGGGTCAGGAGCTTCTGATAGAGGAAGATGGATCCTTAAGTTAAATTCATCTACTGGAGTGGTTTGAGACTATACGATTAGCTGGGGAGGTCAGAATGAGACAGGGTGGTGTATATGTGTGTGTGTGTATGTGTGTGTGTGTGTGTGTGATATTGTGTTATGTGTGCATCCACGCTTGAATGTTTTGATCTGGGCATGATGGAGGAAACTGAGAGATAGAAAAATCCAGAGCCTGGTGAGGGAGACAAAGTAGATGGTCCGCTGTTCCCAGGGGCAACACAGAGGATCTGGACACCATTCCTGGAGCCTCTGAGGTAGTCACTCAGTATGAGTCTAAGAAGTGACCTCTTTATCAGTTTCAGCGAAGTCACTCTGAGGCACAGTCAGATTCAGCAAGTGTGAAAATGCCAGTAAAATTATTCTGCATCATTTGGGTACTGCTAATACTAATACTGATTCTAATACTAATAAAGCCAGTACTAATTGACAGAATATTAATATTGTCCAAGGGTAAGAACTTTGTGGCAACAGGGCTTTTTGTTAGAAGCCTACTCAATTTGACAGATAAATAGATCATGAAGATGTGGTATATATACACAATGGAACACTATACAGTTTTAAGGAGTGATGAAATAAGGAGTGATGGAACTGGATGATAGCACGCTAAAGGAAACCAGAAGAATAAGGAAAAACACAGGATGATGTCACTGATAGATGGTATTCAGAATAACTGGATGAGGAAATGCAATGGTTTAAAGTGGGATGTTTAGATCACCCGTGGCCCTGGCCCCAGAGTAGCAATGTAGCACTGTCCTTCCGTTGCTCATTGATTTGCTCAAGCAGGCATAAGTAAGGCCTCCATTATGAGACTTGTTGTTACTGTTTTTGGCATATCAAATATGTCATGGGGAGCTTGCCAGGCTCTGCTGTGCGGGCGGGATACTCTCGGTAGATTGCCGGGCTCTCTGAGAGGGACAGAGGAATCAAACCCGGGATGGAGCGATAGCACAGTGGGTAAGGCATTTGCCTTACATGCAGCCAACCAGAGTATAGGGAGAAAAAGGAAAGAGACTGAGTGAAGAAGGAGAAGACACAGATGAGAAGCGGAGGGGCCGAAGTCAAGGAGATTCAGGTATACAGGTAATGCTGAGGAGTGGTAGAGCTAAATATATAAACCACAGAGTCAACCACACTGAAATCATGAGACCCAAACTTTAACAACCAACCTTAAGAAGGTGGCTGTCAAGATAGCAGGCTAGGAGTAGAAGGTGGGGGGCGGAGAGGAACTGGGGAATGCCGGTGGAGGGAAGTTGAAACTGGTGGTGGGATCAGTGCTGGGACACTGTATTCAAAAACTCAAACTCAACTATGAGTAACCTTGTAAATCATGATTCTTTGATTTAAAAAATAAGTGAATAAAGCTGTTACTTACTGCTGCAAATGTCCCATTCCAAATTCTAGTCGACACATTCAGGAAGTATTCTCCCTTTACCTGAAGGTCTTTCAGCCAGCAGGTAAATTTACTACAGGAAGCAGTTGTGCAGTTCTGTCAAGATGGGGGACAGAAGAGGGCGGGTTAGTATGAACAGAAAAAAAAAGTCATGGTCAAATATAAATAAGGTAGACAAGCCAGAAATGGAGAAGGTCTAGGAAAATAGGGAGTCTCGTGAACCAGTAGTGGGTACAGCTACTCTTCAGGAGATCCTGGCATTAGGATAATAAGATAAAAACAAATTATCTTATTATTAATAACATATTAATTAAATACATTGTAGACTCTACTACACACATGCTATAGTGGAGTTTACTCACTTAACCCAGCAATAAATATGCTTTCTTTAGAAAGAGAAAAAAAAATAAAAAAATAAAAGCTGACATGAGTCAGCAGTTTTCAAGAGTTGTTGGAGGTGGGTATGAGAAGATGGAACACAGATTTAGAACACTATAATCAATGGACCTTAACGTAAATGTAAACTATGATTTTGCTCATATGTGGAAGATAAACAAAAGTCAATCAGCCAAACAAAAAAATCCTTAGATCCTGACAACGTAATGGCAAGTTATCAGATGGGGAAGACCTGTAGGGCGGTGAGTGAAACAGGTATAGGTACAGGTGGATGGGAATAGTGGTGAATGGAAACTAGACACTTGGAGGTGCACCAAGCCTGTGCAGCTGTTGGTATGAAATTTTAACTCCTAAAGGTAAAGGTAAAGGCCCTCCCGTTGTTCATCGATTTGCTTGGGCGGGCCCAGTAACGTCTCCATTGGAGACTTTGTTTTTACTGTGTCTGGCATATCGAATATGTCACGGGGAGCTTGCCAGGCTCTGCCGTGCGGGCGAGATACTCTCAGTAGCTTGCCGGGCTCTCCGAGAGGGGCGGAGGAATCGAACTCAGGTCGGCCGTGTTGGCGGCGTGCAAGGCAAACGCCCTACCGCTGTGTTATCGCTCCAGCCCTAACTCCTAAAGCTCACATAGTGATTCCAATGAAAAATATATTTTTCTGTTAAACAAAAAGTACAATAGGTTTCACATTTTTTAAAAGATTCTAGAGGTCAAAATGTTGGTAAGAATATTTAAGAAAAAATTTAATGATAAGCAGTAAATTGAAAGAGAGAGAGAGAGAGAGAGAGAGAGAGAGAGAGAGAGAGAGAGAGGTTTGGGGATATAAGAAGGTAGATGAAAGGAATAACCGTGGTTTCCATATAAGACAATAAAACCAGGGTAACTGTCACCAGGTGAACAATGTCCTCACCAAGTCATTTATGTGCCAGAAATTTTCACTCTTGAAAGATACAGAAGAAGATCTTTGTCCAATTTCTAGTGGGTTTATCTTTGCATCACAGGTGATGTCACCAGCCTACAAAGAAAAACATCAAAATGTTGTTCCTTCCGCTATGGGGGGTTGGGGACCCGCTGGGTTGAGCCATTCACTGGACTCCCCTGACCATATTTGGAGTGACCTGTCCAATTACCATAATCTTCAAAGCACTCACATCCTAACATGATTTGCTGAGGTGAGGCTGGTCCTTACAGCCCATATATAAGGAGACAAATTTGCAGTGATAATAGACAGTGAGAAATTTCATTCCAAGTTCTTTTCTGTGGGACATTGTTGGGTTTTTATATCCTATAGTCACCAATACAGATCATAAGAACAGCACAACCCCAGAGTAGTGTTTCTCCATGAATATCCCTGATCTAGGGGGGCTTCAGGAATATTTCTGCTATCTGGATATCCATCTCAACCTTTCATCCAAACATATGTTTTTCCTTAGGACAGCATCGTACCTCTGCTATGGAAAAACTGCTAGTTAATTGGCATCTAGGATGCATGGAAGGGGGGTAGCACTGTAGCACCGTAGCACCGTCCTCCCATTGTTCACCAATTTGCTCTAGCGGGCACCAGTAACATCTCCATTGTGATACTTGTTGTTACTGTTTTTGGCATATCGAATATGCCACGGGGAGCTTGTCAGTCTCTCTGAGAGAGACAGAGGAATCGAACCCAGATCAGCCACATGCAAGGCAAATGCCCTACCCACTGTCTACTCAATTCCCATCCATAAGATATCAGACATGAACACCCCAAACTCACTGAGTATTTCCATATGGAAAAATCACATTCGTACAGGCTACTCAAATGTCCTTACTTTATCTGTGTGAATGCCAGTCAGGTACATTAGTGGGTTCTTCTCCTTAGTGAACTGAGGAATGTAGATTTTCACAGATGCCATGCTTACTGGGATGCTTCCTGTCGTTACCTGTGCAGCACAAAAGAAGTTATTCTGGTTATCACTGTATCACATACCTACATGTTGCAATACCTTCTATGCTGATGAAGGTCAGGTCGAAGTGTTAAAGTTGAGTTTATATGAAAATGAGTCATTACCTTCTGGTCTAATTTCAGCCACTTGCCTCACTTCTCCAGAGAAAATATTAACACTGATTTTTTTTTTTTTGGCGGGGGGAGTTGTTGGGCCATACCCAGAGAGGCCTAGGCTCTGAACTTAAGAATACTCCTGATAATGCTTGGGGGACCATATGGAATGCTGGAGATCAAATCTGGGTTAGTCACGTGCAAGGCAAGGCAAATGCCCTACTCACTGTGCTATTGGTCTGGCCCCAAACTTATCACTTTAATAGGTAAGTAATCAGTGATATCCAAGAGGCTAGAAACACCCAATTCCATATAGTTTTGCTACTACATCATGAAGTACCACTCTGCCTTGGCCAGTACTGTGGCTTAGCAAGTACTTGATCATTCTATGCTTTGATTTTTTTATTTTGTAAATCACTCATCAACTCTGTAGGTATGCACAGGTTCAGCAGCATCTGTTCTCCTCCTAGGTGAGCAGTCTTCTGACAGATATGTGCTTATGCTCCACTGTTCAGCAAAGGCTGAAACTGAGGACACTCTAATGACACTCTAGTGACTTTACTGTCACTACTAGTTAACTATTTGCTTCACTAAATAAGTATATAGTAATTGCCATGTACAAGTTTTATCAGTTCTAAGACATGGAACACAAATCAAGATTTTTCTAGTTACTATTTTTATCATCAAACTGCAGGATTATAGCCATGTAAGAGACTAATAAAAATATATAAAAATTGTATTAACATTGAGTTGTGGGGAAAGTGTTTTGTTTCATTTTTGGGTCACACACAGTAATGACTAGGGCTTATTCCTGGCTCTGGGCTCAGGGGTCACTCTTGGAGGACTCAGGTACGGATGGGAGGACCATACAGAATGCCAAGGATCAAGCCTTGGTCAGTTGTATGCAAGGCAAGCTCTATACCCACTATACCATCTCTCCAGTCTGTAACTTTTCTTTAACTTTTCTAAGTTTTATAATGTTATTATACAGTTGTCATTATTTCACAAATTTATCATTCTACAACTGATAACAATTTTAGTTTAATAATTGCTTATGAAAATAAAAACATCTGTAAACATTTCTAGATATCTACCATGATAGTAAAAAATGCATTTTTGTTCAAATGATTTCTTAAGTAGAGATATTCTTCAAATATATTAGCCATAATAGTGATACTCCAGAGACTTTTACCCATAGTAATATGATTTTATCAATGTTCTATTGGTCAATTTTTATTATTTGTTTAAAAACATGTCAATAATCCTTTATTTGTTTTACCCGGGGCAGGGGGCGGGGGTGTTTTACCTGGCTGTGCTCAGAGCTTGTCCCTAATTCTGTGCTCAAGAATTATTCTTGGAGGGATCAGGGAACTGTATGCGATGCCTGGGATCAGACCTGGTAGGCTGTATACAAGACAAATGCCCTCCCCACTGTACTATCACTCCAGCCCATATTAATGATCCCTTAACCATAAGAAATAACCAAGAACAAAGCTCACTTATTAATGGTCAATCTTAATGGCTCTCAGAGTATGGTGCCTGGACTCCCAGCATCAGTACCACCTGGGAAAATTTTAGGAATGAATATTTTCAGAACCACCCCAAAGCCACTGAATCGGAAACTTCACATTCGAATCCAGTGGTGTACCTTTTAGCAAGTCTCTAGATCATTCTAATGCATCTTTGAGAACCACTGATAAGTTTCAACTTCTTTTTACTCTCTCCTCTTCCTCACTTGTACATAGCTAACACACAGCTAATGCTTCCTACCCCCCCTAACCCCCCTTCATTCTGATTTACCATTCTTATGACAGGTTTACAAACCTTAATGGAAAAGATGAATTTGGGACCAATATCTTCCAAACTGTGTACCAGAGAAGGAACATTCTCATCTGAGACTTCATAAAAATTTATGTTGATGAATCTGTTGGATGATGTTTACAAAGTCAAATATTTCAGCTATGCTGTTAATGTTCATTTTATTTAGAATATATTTAGCTTACAATTAGTACAACTTGCATATGGGTACAAAAACATCAAATGAGAACAAATGGTTTTTGTTTATGGTCTGGCTGCATGTTTCTAGGGCTCAAATCACCTTTTTCAGAATAAAATACTTTATATTTTTTCTGCTAAGATTATATGTTATACATGTATATATGTTATACATGTATCAGTTGTAGAGTTTCAAAAATAAGTATCATGTTAGTCAGATAGTACAAAGATAAAGCCTTGCATGTGACCTGACTCTGACTCAGTGGACCTCTGAACATTACTGGGAATGATCCCTAAGCTCAGAGACAAGAGGAGGTCCTGAGCATAGGTCGGTGTGACCTCAAAACAAAAAGTAAAATCAAATAAATACAAATGTATTACTAAAACTGATGGAACTTTTCTGTAGACTAGATTAGACTAGACTGCTGTATATTGTCTGCTGTGCTAATTTAGTGGGACAATTAACTATTGGCAATGGTATAAATGTGTTTAAAATTCTAAGGATTTTCCATTTGGTAAGGCAAAAATACAATGACAGGATATTGGCACTAGCTCCTGCAGTATTCATTGCTGGATGACTGAAGAAGGGCATACATTTTCCTTAGTTTTCTTTGCTCCTGCCCTTCTCAAGTCCCAAAAGAATGCTAAGGCTTTTGATGAGTTGGGCTTGTTCAATCTGTTTTCACTTCCAGTGTAGAGTCTACCTAAAGACAGCTGAGCAGGAGGCCTTACTAGACTGGACACCTCTGTACTTGTATCTGAGCTTCCTTAGAAATGCCAATAAGAGTTTGCATGTAAAGTAATGGCTGGCTCTTAGGAATCCCACAGGATCACTCTGAACAGCATGGAATTGGATGGCCTCCCCTCTCTTCATTTTTAGGTTTCTGAGGCTGATTCCAGCCAGGATAGCTTAAGGGGCAGGAGGTTGGGGATATGCTGGTGGGGGGTGGGTAGCGAAGAAATCTGTAAACCAAATTTGCTACTTACACGATGTTGACTCAATTTACTAACATTAAACTGGATACTTTCTAATATATGTTTGATTTAGTTAACTGACAAAATATTGCTTTTCTTTTATTATGCTATAAAAACTTTCAAAATTCACAAAAGGTAAGTATGTCACAGGGATGCTTAAGTAGATATGGTATTTGTTAAGGTTAGTTATATGAGAGGAACAGTAGCTATCTCATTAGTATATTATTAGTTACATAAAATATAAAACACATTAAAACTGGGGCAGAAAAATAAAAATTAGATCATATGTCTTGATAGAAACATTTCTCTAAAATTACATAAAGCAATGAAAAAAGAATTATCATTACATTTGGGTGAATAAAATGTGCATGTTTGTGTGTGTGTGTGTGTGTGTGTGTGTGTGTATCAAGTGCATACATCCTGCTAGATAATATTCTGTAGCTAGAAGTCCTGTAGCAAGAAGGTATTCTGAAAACAACTAAGTTTGTCATTTACAACCAAATTGGAGAGTGGGAAGAAGAAAACCTTCACCTTGTATTGTGTATCTCTCTGTAATGTTTGGACCTTCCATCCATCTCCCTTTAATATCTTTAAATTAAAGTTGTAAAGAAAACATACTAATTTGATAAATTATCCATATGGTTATCTAGATGCTTAGATTAGGACATGAATTAGAATTTATTTATAATTCACAGTATTAATTTTGAATTGTATATATATTTTAATGAATATGAATGTGATAGAATCCAAGTCACTGTTATAAAAATACACAGCTAAGGTGGTCATAAAAGTAAAATCCTTTTCAGTTTTATGTTCATTTTATGTTAAAATATCTGAAAAAAAAATTGGCCATTGTGCAAGAATGGAATCAAAAGGACTGTGATAAGAAAAAAGCATTTAGGAAGAGAAAGAATCAATATAGGTAGGAAGAGAACAATTCAGGTAATGTGGTAACATCAGCTTTTATGGAAGCATTAGTCTCCAACTATGTATTTTAAAAACCGAGGAAGCTTTGAAAACTTCTGTCACTGATTAATTTTTCAGAGATGTGTGACTTGTACTATATTTTGTTTCTGTTCTTTGCTCCTTGCAGCTCACTTGAAAGAGAAGCATTCTTTTCATTTGTACTCATCTCAAGCTCCGGACTTATTTCCCCTTTTTGTTTTTGCTCAGTCACCTACTGGATGACTTACATCTCCCATGATCTTCGGATCTGGATGATGAGGTGGGAGTTAATGATTTATTCTCACTACATACTGTTCACTGTCTAATTCTTGGAAATACAATGCTGAGTGTTTTCCATGAGCCACTAGATTGCTTGATGTCTCCCCAGAGAGAGAACTCTGGTTTTCAAAGTTCCTGCACATTATAGAAGGAGTAGAAGCAAGCCCCACAAGGTGAATATGTCCTGATTCTGCTTCACTTCACTGTAGGAGCCAAAGCAGTGAGATCCAATCTGTTAGCATCTGTGGTGAATGATGCTGACCTCACTCAAAACACCTCAGGATCATTCAAGAGATCTGGTGTCAACCAGTACCCTTTGGCTACTGCTCTCAGTCTTATTTATTTTGAGTAGGCAAGGATAGGGAATAAAGCATGAACTTCAATGAGAAAATTCCTTCTTTCTTCAATGTCGTTTAAAAAAAAATCCAAACTATTAGATCAAAAGTTTTCTACTTATTTTCTACTCATCTATGGAGACTACTCTCTATTTGTATTTATGTACAAGCATTGGATATAAAGCATTTAATGTTAGGGAATGGGACTTTCACTGGAGATGTGATATAGACATCTAGGATGTAGTCACAAAGCAGGAACTGGTAGCAACTCCTCAGAATCTCAAGTTCTGCTTTGACATTTGGGGAAGGGTTGCCTCCTGTCCAGAGGAACTGCAGTTTTCTCTGTGGCGTCAACATAATATTCATTTGATCTTTCTGATAAAAATAGGGCTCATTTGTTAAACACGGAGCTCAAGAATTCCCTCGGGATTTCTGTTATAATTGAAAATGGGGAAGCAAATTCATTCAGATACTCAAGTAAAGAGTGGGGTATAGTCAGGCTAGAGCAATAGTACTGGGGGTAAGGTGCTTGCCTTGCAAGAGGGTGACCAAGGTTTGATCCCAGGCACCGCAGGTGGACCTCCAAACTTGCCAAGAGTGATTCCTGAGTGCAGGAAGTAGTGATCCCTGAGCACTGCTGGGTGTGGTCCCAAAACAAGCAAACAAAGAAAAGAGTGGGGTGTAGTCATGCAATGAAATATTATACAGCTGTAAGAGAGGATAAAATCTTACACTTCACTGAAATGTGAATGGAATCAGAGGGTATCATGTTAAGTGAAACAAGTGAGAGGGAGAAGGACAGATACCAGTTGATTTCAGTCATGCATGAAGTCAACCTGGTTTGATCCTCAGCCTTAAATATGGTACCCTGAGCAAAGAGCTAGGAGTAAACCCTGAGCACTAGTGGGTGAGGACCATAAAATTTTTGAAAATCAACCTGTAGCACTGTAGCACTGTCCTCCCATTGTTCATTGATTTGCTTGAACGGCCCCAGTAACGTCTCCATTGTGAGTCTTGTTACTGTGTTGACATACTGAATATGTAACGGGGAGCTTGCCAGGCTTTGCCATGCGGGCAAGGTACTCTCGGTAACTTGCCGGGCTCTCTGAGAGGGGTGGAGGAATCGAATCCGGCTCAGTTGGGCCAGCCGTGCACAAGGCAACTGCCCTACCACTGTGCTATCGCTCCAGCCCTTGCTATCGCTCCAGTCAACCAGCCTAAAATTTTCAAATTATAAAGCAGAGTAGAAGGGGGAATTAAGAGGCAGATAAGAAGTGATACAAAAAGAGTGGTAGAGATCTTGGGCATTTTGGTGGTGGGTGGGGCAGGGGTGAAGTAACTTTGTCCATTAATTCTGTAAACATTTAAGACTATTGTAACAATATTCTTAAACTATACGTTCTTTTATTTAAAAAAAGGAATTGGGCATACCAACTAGTAATTTAGTCATGAAACAAATGTGTTATTAACTCTAGAGAAAGCTGGTACCCAGGGTGCTCGCTGCTGGACATACCTTGTGATGTGAATTTCAGCATCATACAGTAGAGGAAGTCTGAAGTCAACCCTGTTATCGGACTCATTTTCTTCATGGCTTTCACTATTGTAAGGAACATTAGGAAATGACTTAAAAAGAAATAATATAAGAGCAACCATCATCAACTCATGACTTTGTTGTGCTTTACCTTAAGGCTTGGAAACTGACAGATGTCTGATTCTGAAGAATTTGAAGATTGAAGTCAAAGTTAATAGTAAAAGTCACCTGTATATGAAATTAAAATTTATCAAATTATGATGCTCTCTCCTCAGTGTTCAACAAGAAAAAATATTTTCAACTAATTAAATTCTGAATTTTACTTTTAAAATTGTTGAGTTCCTGTATTATCTGTCCACCATGAGTGAACAAGTCCCATTTTAAGAATTAGTAGGGTCCAATGTTTAACTGACATTTCCATGTCATTGCTTCACAGACTCACCTGCTCAAGAGAATTACAAAGCTTTGGGCTGATGTGACATTTGCTTGTCTGAGATTAACAAGCGATATCTGTGACTGTGTACTGTAAACCTATTCACAATCAAAGAACTTTTTCCATTGTATGTGCGCTTTAGAATGAACCACACAAAGGGAAAAACATCCCACTTACATTAATTACTTAGATTAAAATGTAGAGATTTTAAAAGTCCTCTCAATAGGAAGCCAATTGTTTTGTTAGGCATCTGTCAAATAAAACTAAGACACCTATCAAATAAAACAGAAAAGGTGGTAATGTAGACGAATTCATATTAGTGACCAGGAGGGGCTAGGGTGGATCTGAAGATAAAGTTCAAGTTGTACCTGTTGTTTTGGATGCAAAGCAGGGTAGCCAACATCACAGGCAACTGATTTCTGGGCAGAAGCAACCTGGCATCGTATTTCTGTCCCATCAGTCTGAAAGAGGCCAAGGCAAGGATGATTAATTGACATGTAGTCTGTGTGTGTGTGTATGTGTCTGTGTGTGTGTGTGTGTGTGAAAGAGAGAGAGAGAGAAAGAGAGATACAGACAGACAGAGACAGAGAGACAAAGACAGAGAGAGACAGAGACAGAGAACAAGGTGAAGGAGGCTGAAACCATGAGCAAAGCAGTGAGCTAGGTTCATAAATGAAGCAATTTAATTATTCCCAAGACTTGAAAATCTTGTACTGTCCAGGTAACTAATGCATTTTTAACCATTATGTAAAGCTTAATGGTTATTAATTAATTACTTATTAATTATAAGAAAAAAAGAAACCAAATATTTACTCCAGGAATAAGTTTACACCCCCCTCCCAATAAATCCTATTTCTTGTATTTTCAAAGCACAAAATATCTTTAATCAAATATTCAGAAATGTGGTGCTTTCATATATAATTTTCTCCTAATATGTATTTGAAATTTCATTTTAAACAAAGTGGGAATAAAGCCCAAATTATATGTGAGCATTTACTATATGTTAAAAACCCCCAAGGATTCATTGATAGCACAGCGGTAGGGCGTTTGCCTTGCACACAGCCAACATGGCCGACTCGAGTTCGATTCCTCCGCCCCTCTCGGAGAGCCCGGCAAGCTCCCCGTGACGTATTCAATATGCCAAACACAGTAACAACAAAGTCTCACAATGGAGACGTTACTGGGCCCGCTTGAGAAAATCGATGAACAATGGGAGGACAGACAGATTTCTTCTCGTTAAGAAGTTGTTTGATATCCAACCCCATCAAAAAATGGGGCGACGAAATGAACAGAAACTTTCTCAGAGAAGAAATCCGAATGGCAAAAAGGCACATGAGAAAATGCTCTACATCATTAATCATCAGGGAGATGCAGATCAAAACAACAATGAGATATCATTTCACACCACAAAGACTGGCCCACATCCAAAAGAACAAAAGCAACTGGTGCTGGCACGGATGTGGCGAAAATGGGACCCTCCTTCACTGCTGGTGGGAGTGCCGACTGATTCAGCCCTTTTGGAAAACAGTATGGACGATTCTCCAAAAATTAGAAATTGAGCTCCCATTTGACCCAGCAATACCACTCCTGGGAATATACCCCAGAGAGGCAAAAAAGTATACTCAAAGTGACATCTGCACTTGTTTGTTCACTGCAGCACTCTTTACAATAGCCAGAATCTGGAAAAAACCTGAGTGCCCGAAAACGGATGACTGGTTAAAGAAACTTTGGTACATCTACACAATGGAGTACTATGTAGCTGTTAGAAAAGATGAAGTCATGAAACTTACATACAAGTGGTACTACATGGAAAGTATCATGTTAAGGGAAATGAGCCAGAAAGAAAGGGATAGACATAGAAAGATTGCATTCATCTGGGGAACATAAAGTAACAAAATAGGAGACTAACATCCAAGAGTGGCTGAGATTAGTACCAGAAGTTTTGCTTCATGGCTTGGAGGCTAGCCACACATGCTAGGGGAAAAGGGAGCTCAGATACAGAAGGTAGCACCAAATAAAGGGTGTTAGGGGGATTCTCCCAGGATGGGAGAAACATGCTGAAAGTAGACTGTAGACCAAATATGATTGCCACTCAATGCCTCTTTTGCAAACCACAACACCCAAAAGGAGAGAGAGAGAACAAAGGGGAATGCCTTGCCACAGAGGCAGGGTGGGATGGGGGGGATGGGAGGTGGGAGGGATGCTGGGACCCGTGGTGGTAGAGGATGGGAGCTGGTGAAGGGATGGGTACTTGATCATTGTATAACTGAAACCCAAGCACAAAAATGTGTAAGTCTACAACTGTACCTCATGGTGTTTCACTAATAAAAATTTTTTAAAAGTTGTTAGATATAGGCAATTTAGTCAACTCAACAAAGCTTATGCTAAATCTGTGAAGCTCATGTTAACTTTTAACTGGATGAAACCATTCTCTAATCCGTATTTTCAATAATGGTGAATATTTTAAAAGGGTGATATAAATGAAGTCATGAACTTGGAAAATCACAGCTTTTCCCTTCTCTGTTGCATACATGGTAGTGGAGGAGAGAACTGAGGCATTTATGGTCAAGTGTGCTTCTGGTATAGTGATCAAATGAACACGAGGGCCTGCCTCCTGGAACATATCCTCCTGGCAGTGTTTCCCAAGCTCAGAGCTGAGCTGTGGCAAGAGACAAGTGCAGCTCATAATGTCTGCAGTAGCACATTACACAGACGGGGGAGAATAATCACGGGAGTGCCTGGTGACTGCGGCCAAGTCTAAGGGCAAAGGAAAAACTGACCCAGGATGGAAGCAGAACTTATCTAGATGCAGAGCCAGGCTATGTTCTCTGGCAGTTTAACTAGTTCGGAGTCACAGCTGGGACTGAGTGCCGAGGGAGAAGGGACTTTTGCAGATGGTCAGGAGGAAGAGGTCTGAGCTCAAGGAAGCTGGTAATGGACAAATGTAAAATGACCCAACTGCATTAGTATAAGGATATTCACCTACCGACATGGTCCAGGAAGCAAAAAACAAGTTGTCTGAGAAGTCAACAACAATCCTAGTGTTGTATGCACTCTCCTTTTTGTTTGTCAGTGTCACTAAAAATGTTAACCTCTTGTTTTTGTTGCTGACAATAAAGGGCTGTTCTCTGTTAAAAGTGAAAAAACAGAAGTAATTAATGTTAAAAAATGGGGTTGGGGCAGAGGTATTCCAAGTTCTTCACTTATTTTAAAAATAAGTTGTTAAGGGGCCAGAGGGGGTAGGGTATTTGCCTTGCAAGCAGCTGATCCCAGTTCAATCCCTGGCATCCCATGCAGGAGTAATTCCTGCATGCAGATCCAGGAGTAACTCCTGACCATCACCAGGTGTGGCCCCCAAATGAAAAAGAAATAAAAATAAATAAGATATTTGGAGTTCCTTGGAACATTGAGAAAGCTGAATAATAATCATGACATGTCTTCACAATAAAATGTTATTGATAATGAAGATCAGTGCTATTGAATTTTCTCCTTTGTTGCTTCTAATGATGACAATACAGGGAAAAGATACATTCAGATACAAATGGCTTTATGTTTCATATTGTTTGATTCAAATGAATTTTAATTTCTTATTTGAAATTTAAATCTTAAAGATCCTGAAATATTTAAGAATGTTTCATTCATAGAAAAACAGTCCATCACTGTTCACTTGACTCATGCAGTACATCTTAATTTTCCATTCACTCTGAGGCTTACTGAGTAGCTGACAGCTGCTGGACGTCTAAAACTAGATCAGAAATGCAAAGTCCATCATCTCCACAGTCCTTATGGAAAGGGATCTGCCAGAGAGGAAAAATAATTCCAGACGTTATCTCTTGAGTTGTAAAACTGACTGTGGAGTCACTTATATACTATTGTTCCACTTACATAAAATTCAAAACAATGTGCAAAACTAACCAATGCTCTAGGAACATAGACATGTTTAGTAACATTGCAATCATAATCAGAGTACATATAAAATGAAATATGGGGAAATGTCAGGAAGTTGGTGGAAGAAACTCAAAGGGAGTGCACATGCTTTGCATGAAGGAAATCCAGATTTAATCCTCAGTACCACAGGTGCCCCTGAGCACTGCCATGAGTGACTCTTGAGCACTGAGAATGGAAAAATGCTTGGGCACTGCTGAGGGTAGCCCAATCCCCCCAAAATAAATTCCAAAATTCAAAGATGATTTGTCTGAGGTAGGAATATGAAACTCCTTGTGGAGAGTGACAGAAAATTTCGTAGAAGTTAGGCATGGTATCCAAGATGTCTTATTTATTACAATTTATTTCTTTTAAAAATATTTATTAAATATGTAAAGTGGATCAGGCATTGCTTGAAGGGCCAAGAGTGGAGTAAGGAACTGAAAAGTTGAATGTCTGAATTTATAGAACTTACTTGCTGGTGAACATCATGTGGTAGTTGTTTCGTTAGAAAATTAAATATATAAAAGTCATATCCTAGCTATCTTTCTAATTCTCCTGCAGTGACCATAATTTTGGTAGAGAACCTGAACTCTAGGAAAGGCAAAGCTGCTGTACTCACGCTGAAGACCTTGGTTGGCTCCGAATAGGCTTCAAGAGCAGGGCTGGTGCCTGGGTTTGCCAGGCTGACGTTCACGCACAGATCCATTGGGCTGATAACATCAGAGGGCTCCTGGACATGGACACAGACTGTGAGGGTACTTCAAAATGACTCCAAAGAAAATGATCCATTTGTGGATTGTTCTTGAATTTTCAAGACCTCTGCCTCCTTCTCTTCCGTCTTAATTCTACTCTTAGCATCTCTGCTGTTAAGAAGGGCTGGAGCAATAGTGCATTTGGTAGTGAGTTTGCCTTGCAAGCAGCTGAGCAGGGTTCAATCCCCAGCATCCTATATGGTCCCATGAGCACTGCCAGGAGTAATTCCTGAGTGCAGAGCCAGGCTTGAGCATTGCCAGGAGCTTGAAACTTGAAGAGACTTGGCCTCAGTAAAAATGCTAAGCAGCAGTTATTTCTCATCAGTAACCCCATTACTATATACAAATAATTATATGTATTATTATACATAGATATAAATTTAATGCTATGTCCGAGCGATAGCACAGCGGTAGGGTGTTTGCCTTGCACGCAGCCAACATGGCCGACCCAAGTTCGATTCCTCTGCCCCTCTCAGAGAGCCCGGCAATCTACCGAGAGTATCTCACCCACACGGCAGAGCCTGGCAAGCTACCCGTGATGTATTCAATATGCCAAACACAGTAACAACAAAAGTCTTCAATGGAGACGTTACTGGGCCCGCTCAAGCAAATTGATGAACAACGGGAGAACAGTGACAGTGACAGTGAGGTAATTTGGTGGTTGGATATGCCTTTCTTCTTGCTACGATTCATAGGTACGTGGGTTTCCTGAAAAAATTTCTGGAAGAGAATATTAGGACTAAGAAGGGAAGATACAGGGCCAGCAGTCAGAAAATGCATGAGAGGACTCTCTTCCTTCAGTCAGAATCCAGCTGTTCTATGCAACCAGAGGGATGATGCACACATCCAAAACTGAACCCTCCAGTTAGAGCCTGGCTGACTGTTAGATACTGCACTGTTCCTTGCACATAAAAGATGCTGCATACATTTCCTGACAGTCATTAAAGTTGATGCGACCCAGGTACAAGAATAAATTCTCCTGGGGCTGGAGTGATAGCACAGCGGGTAGGGCGTTTGCCTTGTAAGTGGCTAACCTCCATTTGATTCCCAGCATCCCATATGGTCCCCTGAGCACCTCCAGGAGTAATTCCTGAGTGTAGAGCCAGGAGTAACCCCTGTGCACTGTGTATTGCTGGGTGTGACCCAAAAAGCAATAAATAAATAAATAAATAAATAAACAAACAAATAAATAAGTTCTCCTCCATATTGCTATTGGATTGAGGTACAGGACTTCAGCAGTTCCAGGAGGCCTGGGCCACGTCTAGTTTTTAAGGATTCATGTCCATTGATAAATATACAAATGCCCAAACAGGGGTGCAAATGTCATCTACCTGGTTTTCTACAAATACATTTTCCTTCTTTTTATTATGTTTGACTTTCATAAGTGGATTTTTTTATTAACTATGTTGTCTCCTTTTATTTATTTATTTTTTATTTTTATTAGTGAGACATCATGAGGTACAGTTGCAGACTTACAAATTTTTGTGCTTGGGTTTCAATTATACAATGATCAAATACCCATCCCTCCACCAGTGCCCATTTCCCACCACCATGGATCCCAGTATCCCTCCCATCCCCCATCCCCCCTATCCCACCCTGCCTCTGTGGCAGGGCATTCCCTTTTGTTCTCTCTCATTTTCTTTCTTTTTATATTTTCTTTTTATATTTTTCTGAATTATTTAAGAGAAGAGAAACGGAAGAGAATGAAAAGGGAAAGGCCTACCACAGTGAGGCTTCCTCAGGAATACTCTCCTAAGTAGAATTCCCTGGTTCTTCATTTTTTTTGTTTGATTTTTGTTTTCAGGCCACACCCAGAAGTGCTCAGGAGTTACTCCTGGCTCTGCACTCAGGAATTAGTCCTGGTGCTCGGGGTACCATATGTGATGCCGGAGATAGAACCTGGGTCTGCCACATGCAAGGCAAACACCTACCCGCTGTACTCTCTCTCCGGCCCCCAGCTCTTCATTCTTATCTGTACAAATGATCAATTATAAAACTTAAATCTGCCTTTTCCTGACATGTTGTTCTCTTTATTCTCACTGAGTCCATGCACAAGCAGAACCTACTCCTGTGACTTGAAGCCTGTGGAGGGTATGGCTCCTAAAATGGCTTTCTGCTGGAAACATATACTGGAGGACAGGCATCGGGGTGGGTTTGGGTATTGACATGAGAGTGGTATGAGCTGAAACTACCTCTTAGCGGATAAGTTTAGTAGCACACATGAGAGTATTCAGAATATATAGGTGAGCAGCAGCCTTGCTGTCTTCATTCTCCCAGACTGTGATATATGTTTAATTCTATCCACTACCTTGCAAAAAAAAAAAACAGGAAAAATTGGAAGACTGTTTTTGTTTCTTAATAAACTCTGTATAACTGACATAGCACAGCGGGTAGGGCGTTCGCCTTACAAGCGGCCAACATGGCCGACCCGAGTTCGATTCCTCCGCCCCTCTCGGAGAGCCCGGCAAGCTACCGAGAGTATTCGATATGCCAGACACAGTAACAACAAGGTCTCCAATGGAGACGTTACTGGGCCCGCTCGAGCAAATAACTGCATATTTTATGTTTTTTTAAATTAAGCAATATAGTTTTTATTCAACAAGACTCACTAAGAAATGTGTGAGGAGGCAAAGGAACGGAATACTTGTTCAAGAGAACACAAGCTTGAAAGAGCAAGTAAGCAAGCATAGACAGAGACAACTGATTCAGGGAGAACAGACTGAATAAGCCTAATTGACATCTTTACAATAAAACATTTACTGTACAAACAAGAATTTTTTTTCTTTTTTGGGTCACACACGGTGATGCACAGGGGTTACTCCTGGCTTTGCACTTAGGAATTACTCCTGGCAGTACTCAGGGGACCACATGGGATGCTGGGAATTGAACCCAGGTCCACTGAGTGCAAGGAAAATGCCCTACCCACTGTACAATTGCTCCAGCTCCAAACAAGAAATTTTTGATTTGAATACTTAAACAGCTCCAGTGATTTAGTCCATTTATTAGCTTTATGTTTTTTCAACTCTATTAATAGTATTTTTGAAGAGCTGATCATACTATCTTCAGACATCAGAAATATCCAGAGGTGACAGCAAACTTACCTCTGAACTTTCAATCCAAATCTCTGAATGTGGATATGCAGAAGACATACTTTATAAACAGTCTTTCAGCATTTCTTATGCACTTTAGACTATGAAAACCTTATTCTAGGAAAGTTCATGAATACCTCATTTGAAAATGGTCTCCTGATTAAATTGCACTTTCAAGTAACATTGTGTGGTTTTGAAAGATAAATATTCTTATAATTTATAAAATACATTTCTTGTTAAACATGTAAGAAAGTGGTCTTTGATTTCTTTCTAAACTTTAATTTTCACCCTATTCACTGTAATCATAAATAAATTAAGCTACTAACTTTATGTATACCCTCGACCGAAGACCCGTCCGTCTCTATCGGGGAAGGCCGTCCTCTTGACCGAGCATGCAGCTTAGGGAGGGACGCACATGGAGCGGTGAGGGAGGAAGGGGACACCCGCCTAGCCAGCCAGATCAGTCGAATCAACCCTGGCGATCAATGGGGTGACAGATGTCGCAGCCAGATCGCCCTCACATCACCTGCATGGCAGAGCCTGGCAAGCTCCCCGTGACGTATTCGATATGCCAAACACAGTAACAACAAAGTCTCCAGTGGAGACGTTACTGGGCCCGCTCGAGCAAATCGATGATCAACGGGAGGGCCTTTACTTACTTTTACTTACTTTACTAACTTTATGTAACAACAATATTTTCACAAAGGAAGTTTGCTATTCACAGATTTAGAGAAGAAAAGCATTACTTATAAGGGTAAACATTTTATAAACCATAAGATTCATTTTAGATGTTCACTAGTCATTAGTCTTTATGAAATGAAAAGAGCTTAAATTGAGGCTTCACCTGTATGTGGATGATGAACTCAGAACAAGTCTGGGCTTGGCGTACCATCAAAGTTTTCTGCAGGAACCTCTCATTATTTTCTTTAAATAGTCCCCTGGATGTGACTCTGGATGAATACTGATCTGCATCTATTGTGATGTTATACTTAATGGCTATGATACAAATCATAAAGAAATGTTATTGTAAATAAACTTTTAGGAAAGCACATCCTTACTCTATTGTGTCTACTGGATGAAATTTTTGGCTTTAGGAAAACATCAAAGCAGTTCTTATGTTGAAGGACTGTGAACCACAGCTAGTCCAAGGAATTTGTAATTCTGGCTCTAAGGATGTATGTTGCCACGGAAACAAAGTATTCTCTCATTCAGAGAAACCTGATTTGAAGCAGAGGACTTGCCATCAGGAAGTTTACTAGTTAAACTTGGTCAAAATAATCCCTCAGATTTATTGAGTGTCTACAGTTAAACCTATTCTTATACTTTACCTTATACAAGTTTTTCAATAAACCAGGGAAGTGTATAATATCATATTTTTTAAGATAATGAACAAAAGATGTAAACTAATTCACTGGGATTCACACACCTAGGGAATGGGTAGGAACAGATGTTATTTATCATCCACAAGTCCGTCACTGTACCTTCTCCTTCCCCCCTTCCTTCCCTCCCTCCCTCCCTCCTTCCCTTCCTTTCTTCCTTCTCATCCAGCAATACTCAGGGGTTACCACTGGCTCTGCACTCAGGAATCACTACTGGCAGTGCTCAGGAGACCATATGGGATGCCAAGGATCAAACCTAGGTCCGCCACGTGTAAGGCAAATGCCCTACCTGTTGTATTATCATTCCAGCTCCCCTTTCTTTCTTAAATTGGGTCACACCTGGCAGTACTCGGGGCTTACTTTTGGCTCTACACTCAGGGATCCCTCCTGGGAAGGGACCTTATTGGGTCCTGAGGACTGAATATAGATCAGTTGAATGCAAGCTGTGTGCACTGTAGCAAGCCTGCTATATATCTCTGGCCCCTTGAAAAAACCTTCTTAATAGAAAAAATGACAAGAGATGTGGATGGGAAAGAGCCGCAGAGGCAACAAGTGATTTTTATACTATTAACTTTAAACCAGATTGTGCACTGGATGAAATAAATAACAGAGACCATATGCTTTATAAATTTACATTCTACAGTGAGAGGATCGGATTTACGTCTTACAAAAATATTAGTGCCAAAGCAATTCCATAGCAGAGGCTTGGGACTGGCCCAAGGCTCACTCCAGACAGTGAGCCAAGAGAAAGAAATTCTCTGACAGCCGGGTCCTCAGCAACAGAAGGGTGAATAACCATCGGAACGTGGAGCACTCACCTGCCAGCCCTTTCTACTGACCAATGATTTTTGAAGTCCATCAGCAGACTAGGCACTCTTTTTCCTCCCATCTTTATTGACATATAATTAAACACTATGTGAACATTTAAGAAGAGCAGCACTGAGATTTGATATATAATATAATTGATTCTATTTCAAATAGTTGTATTTTAGTGAATGTATTATAAAATAATTACCAAAAATAAAGTTGACTAACACATCCATTACCTCACAGTTAAATTTTGTTGGCATGTGTGGTGAGAACTTTTGAAATCTACCATGGTAACTTTCAAATATAGAAAACATATTTGTTAACGATAGTCATTCTACATTGCACCTTTCATTTACTCTCACACAGTCACAGTTTTTTTAATTCAATTATCATGATGATCTAGATAGATGAGAGATCGGCTACTCAAAGTGAAATAACAAATGTGCACTAGATCTGAAAGTAGGAAAATATGAAAAACCTGCCAAGAGGTAAATCTGGTTTCTGTGTTGTGTTTCTTAGATGAACCATAGCAAATAATCCACTTCAGTATTTTTAGTTTTACATGTAATTGCTTTGAGTAGCTGACAGAGCTTTCAACAGGCTTTTACTCATTCTCTGGGTAATTTGGCAAATTGAAGACACTGGGCACAACGTATATTGTTTTACATTTTCTCTTTTCATGCTATTCTTTAAGAATTGGAGTAACGTTGGTTCTTTGTTCTAAAACGACACTTTGTAGACATATAGTCAATACTTCCATGTTCCCATGGTTTTAAGTAAGGCAACTTTTGGTAGGAAGAAACTCAGAGCAAATCTGTGGGTGCCTATGATTATGGCACAAAGATGACAATCCTCTGTTAGAATGTTACCATTTAGAGAGAACAGATGGGTATCCAAACCCAGACCCCATGTCTGAGGAGCCCATCTCAAACACCTCCAAGGCCTCAAGGCAGGGGACACTTTACATGTCTGCTAGTGAAGACCATTTCTTTAGGTCTATCACCCTAAGACTCTAGAAGCAAACCTATACCAAACTACTGGTTTCAGCTCTACTCACCCACTTGACCATTTGGCTCAGTAGGTCTAAACTTAGCACTGAAGCAAAGTTTGAGATTTATATCAACGTTCTTGTTGACCAAAATGATTTTTTCTGGTGTGAATGAAGCTTTGACAGATACATCAGCAATGCTCTGTGACCTAAAGACAGAAATGGAAACAGCAAAGATGAGTGTTATTGCCAAGTGCACAGACTCGGCTTCCATGGGTGTCAACTTTATCCAATGCCCCTCTTCATGCTCTATCCCAGCAACATGTTACATTTGAACGCTCTAAGAGGACAGGTAAGAGCATGCCTTTTGTGTTTGTAAGGATAAGAACAGCACAAGCAACATTTAATAGTTTCCTTTAATGCACACATGCCCTGAGTATAGGATGGGTCTTCAATCTCCCAGCAAATGAAGAACTGTCCTGTTGGATTTTTCTAGCATGGAACAATCACTCTTCTCTTACAAAGAAGAGAGAGTAGGTGACCAGCAGGGGTGACAAGGCTGGGAAATGTGGTCAAATGCATTGCCCTGCTGCTTCCATGGCAGACGGTGATGCTCCATAAACTGTGAGCTATGGCCATGATAGTGGGAATTAGCTGAATTCCAGAAGGATACTGGGAAAAGCTCCAAATATCTGACTCTGGCTCAACCTGTTTGCAGAAGGATTTTCACAGATGCATGGCCTCATTTGCTCCCAAAAGACACTTCTAGAGTTGGAGTGAAAACAGGAGTGAGGTAGGTTGAATAAGTAATATTATTATTGGGTGGGGGCTGGCATAACACTCAGTGGTGCTCAGGAGCTTCTGGCCCTGTGCTTGGGGGTAGCTCCACGTGCTGCTCAGGGCCAAGTGTTATGGGGATCAAACCGGGTCAGCTGCAGGCAAGACAAGGAACTCCGTACTACCTCTGACCCTCTGTTTTATCAACGAAAGAATCTGAGACACAAAGACATTTGACAACTTGTCGCTTTACTGAGTAATTGCTAGCAAGTGAAAAATCATATCCTATAGTCTCCAAGTTCTGTTGTCAACAGAATCTGAACTTTTAGCACAATAACCCCTAGCCTATGGTCTTGACTATCTATCAAGCAGTATGTGATTTCATCTCTTTGAAAGCGCCATAAAAATACAAAAAAAAATTCTTTTTATTTCAGGAACCACCTGAAAAACTGAGTTTATTAAAATTTTTTCCAATAATTAAACACAAATTTATCAGAACCCCCAGTAGGCAGTCAGATAATATCAAATAACAAATGTAACATGACCTCAAACATACAAGATCTAATTTGTCTAAGTAAATACCTTCCTTCAATCAATCTCTTTAAGAAGTTTAGCACTTATCCCAATGTACCAGTACTGGCCTAAATTGTCTTGTAATTTTATTTTTTTAATTTCAGAAAGTGACCCTCAAGATAAGTTTCAACATCTTAAAGAATACAATTACAAAACAGCTTTAACCTAGCTTTAATGATCACTTCCCAAATTGATATGACTGCTTGTGTCTTGATGTTTTTCAAAGAATCAAATCCTCCTTCAAAGAAAAACATTTGGTATCATTGATTAAAAGGAAGGGACTCACAGCACAAAGCTTCCCAAGATGGTAACAGAGTGATTCTCATAGAAAGGTACAATTTATTTGAAATTGCTCAAAAAGGAATCTTTATGTTATACTGCACTTTTAATGAAATTCCACTCTTGATTTTATTCACTAAATATATTTTATTTTTTAAAAATTCTGCAATATTTTCTTAAGTTTTACTTCTTCCACACAAAGTTTTCATTAAAACAATGCACTACAAACAAGTGTTTCAATTGGCAAAGGGTCTTGGACACTGGTCATGGTGGAATGCAGTAATTTTGTATATCAACACCATAAACACTAACGCTATTATAATATGTAACCATATTACCTAACTATAATAATAATAAAAGCCATAGACTTCACTCTTTGAAACCATAAGTCATATACTGTAAATAGTATTATTCGGCTCAGAAACAGTGAAACACCCAAATGCTTTTTTGCTCTTGATGTGCATTGAGAACATTATCTGCAACAGAGATGAGTGAATGAATGACTGAACAATATTTGCTTTTGATCTCTTCATCAAATATCTATTTCTTTGTGATTCTATTTCCTGCCAAGCTCAATCTATTTATTTTTTTTCCTTGAATCACATTACCCTTGAGTCGCTTATTATCAGTCCCTGTTCTTAAGCTCTTACTGGACTCACTGAGAAGTCAGCTAAGCCTGAATAATTACTTCCTATCTATGACTAATAATTTAAATAGATATCCCTTAACATCATGAGAAGCTGCATTTTATCTGTATGGCCTGAGTTTTCAGTAATTTTAGGGCATTCTCACGAGATTTCCTTTCTGCAAATTGAGATAAGTCTACTTCAAAGATAAGATTCAGAAATACCCTGGCTACCATTTCAAGGTCTTAAGTCTTTTCTATGAATTTTCCTGTTCATTATGTAGGAAATAGACACTTGATCTAATGTAAACAGGTGATATTTTTCTCCCCTGAAATAAACACATTTTCTTTGTGCAAACAGTAACTGATAAATGTCCTGAATTATTTTATAGACTGTTGTATTTGTGTCCCCATCCCAGTATCCATAGAGCAATCAGTTCTATTTGACAGGTCACTTGATAATTATTTAGCTTGTATCAAGCTCATACTGACTCACCAGAGCTGGACCACTTGTCCAAAGGCGCCAATGGACACATCAGGGATGGAATCTCCATTTAAATCTCCATAGCCATCTAAGGATCTCCCAAAAAACTGGAGATGGTTTTGAAAGGTGACATCAGACCCTAGGATTTTCTGAAATAGGGGTTGACACAAAATTATTGAGTATAGCAATAAAGCAGAAAAGGAGCTTCTATGCTGCTTTAATAATTTTGAAACTCCCTAAATAGCCATTTTTCAGGTTATCATTATTCGGTTTATCATTTCTGCAGTCATATATTCATTAAAATTGGCATGAATATGTTAATAAAGTTACAAGTCATCACAAAGCGGTGAAGGGAGAGGGCACTAGGAAGGACTTGTTGCTAGTTCAGTCCTGACTCCTGACCCCCAACTCACTTCTCTTGAATTTTTATTTCAAAATTGCCTTTAAAGAATTTTTTTTATTGAATCACTATGAGTAAGTATCCTGCTCGCATGGCAGAGCCTGTCAAGCTCCCCATGGTGTATTGGATATGCCAAAAACAGTAACAACAAATCTCACAATTGAGATGTTACTGGTGCCTGCCAGAGCAAATTGATGAACAATGGAAGGACAGTGCTACAGAATCACTGTGAAATAAGCAGTTACAAAGTACATGATTGTGTTTCAGTCATACAATGTTCCAATACCCATCTCTTCAACAGTGCACATTTCCCACCACTAATGTCCCCAGTCTCCCTCCTCCTACCCCCTCAGCTGGCCTCTATGGCAGACACTTTTCTTCTCTCTCTCTCTCTCTCTCTCTCTCTCTCTCTCTCTCTCTCTCTCTCTCTCATTTTCCTTTTAGGCACTATGGTCTGCAGTACTGTTACTGAAAGGGTATAATGCATATCACTCTACCTCCTTTCAGCACTCAGTTCTTCCTTCTCTGTCCAATCTGCACTCCCTCCCCTTCCTCCCACCGCTTCCTCCCACTATTGAACAGGCCCTTGTTTCTACTCTCTTTGTAAATATACATATAAATATGTATATTTATATCCCACAAATTTGTCACTCTCCCTCTGATTTCACTCAGCATGATACTATCCATGTCCACCCATATATAAACAAATTTCATGATTTCACTTTCATAAGTTGCCTTTTTAATGAGTCTTTTTTGGCACACCTTCTATTAGCTGTTATTTCTGGTTCCTGAAAACTTTCTATTTTATTTATTGAAAGTTCCTATTTTTTTCTCTATCTCTTCCACAATAATGTATGATGCAGGGAGTTTTGTCTGCCCTGTGCTTTGCAGCTTACCAATGTCTAAAACCATGCTTGATACAAGAAGCTATTAAGCATTTGCTGAAGGGATGAATAAAATCCAAAATGAATACAAAAATTAAAAATGAAAAAAACAATGACTAAGAGGGATCAATTAGATGGTCTGCATACTCTCGTACAATGATGCAGGTGAATGCACCACTATAAAATTTAATGGTTACCTGGGAGTACTTCAAGCGAATGGTGCGTTCATGACCATTGTAGATGTAAACAGCTCCAGAGTTCTGGTTTTCCAAAGGTGATCCAACTATCACATCATTAAAGCCATCCATATTTATATCTGAAACAGCAGCAATGGCTGAACCAAACCGGGAATTTTCTATACCTTCAGGGCCTTCAAGAAATTGGTGCCAATTCAAAATGCCCTTGCAAAGGGGAAAGAAGGATGATTAAAATAGGTCTTATGACTGTCATAACTAAAGCTAACAGAAATGAGGCACAACACAATCTCAAATTGTTAAATGGGATCAAGTTTTAATTCTAGAATTCAAGAGTCTATATTTATGAACAGAAATATAGTCCAAAAATGTTTTTTGTTTATGTAGCATTCTGAATTGTCATTATTGGAGACGAGAAGATCTCACAGTACCTTATCAACAAATACTTTAACAAATTAAGTCAATTAACATAATTTTCTTTTACCTTTGAGATAATAAACATGTAGACTCTCCCTTCCTCTTTCTTTAGATCATTCATGAACATTGGTGCCCCTACTAAGAGCACATCTGTAATACTGTCTTTATCCACATCAACTGAACACAGTACACTCCCAAAGTAGGAACCAATCTGTAATGAAAAGCAGATCAATTTTTGGATACCTCGGATTCACCTGATTGTCATAACAAACTGATATTTCATTTGTTCATTTTACACAGGAAACCTGAGTGTTTATTAACCCCAATGTAAAAAAATGTAAATAACCTATTCACTTCTCTCAGGTGTTATCACCATCTAACACATGTTCTTCAACCTGAGCATTCCCTCCAAATCACCCAGAATCTGTCGTTAAAATAGAGATTGCCAAGACCCATTCACAGAGATTCTAATGTGATGTCTGGGCTGCAATCCAGAAAATATTTCTGTAAATAAGCATTGTAGGTGTTTCTGATGCTAAGGAAATGACCTAAGAGGAACACTCAGAAGGTACATGACATGTGTTGAAGAGAAAGGTAAGAATAAAAATAAGGAGGTGAAATGAGTAACTATGCTTGCCTGGTAAAATATATTTAGAATGACACAGATAGAGGCAAGAACCAAATTCCATGTATCTGAGGGGAGGAAGTAAGGAAAGTTTAGAAAGATTGTATTTGAATTGCATCTTAAAAGAAGACTAGGGTATTTCTAAGCGGAGTGGAGTGATTGGAAAACATAAAGACAGCATGATTTGGGACACAAGATTCACTGGGGGACTGGAAGGCTAATTGCAAATAAAGTAAAAGGAAACCTAGGAGTTTGAAGATTCATCCCATTCAACCAGTGTTCAATGCCTGCCTATGGGAATATTACTTAGGGATACAGACATGAGCAGGAAATGATTCCTTTCATACACGTTCATCGTTTTTCTCAAATAAAAACACTCTGATTGAAATGACTAAAGAGGCATGAAGGTATGTAAGTATAGCTTTGTGGTCTAGGAAGTCAAGGACTCTGGTCTCCTTATTCCTGGAAATTCCACGAAGAAAATAGGATCAGATGGAATCCCAAAGAAAATTCATGTGGGGAGGTTTGGTTACTTGGACTCAAAAAAGAGAAATTTCTATTTGGTTTTCAGAGATTTGTCACGCTCATTTCAAATATGTACCAAACCCATAGAACAAAAAGTGTTTAGTTAGAAAACAGAAATCTGGACTTTGCTCCAGTGGGCCCCCGTGAGATAGTTACATGGGTTCTGATTAACAACTTCTCTCCTATCAGTAGAAAGTGACAGAGAATAGAGTTGCTTTCTTTCTGGAAATACCATCAACATAGGTTACCCTGACAGACCACAAGTAGCAACTCAGTCTTTATAATGCTACATTGTTCTCTTCTTATTATTTTCTTCTTTAGATCTTTGACTCAGAGTAAAAGTTGTGCCAACAAAGTAGTGGACAGGTGCCTGTGATCAGGTCATTATAATACTAATGCATTATTAATCTAGGGAGTCAAAATATGGAGAGGAGTGTAACCAAGAATCGGAGTCTTGAGGCCTCATAGGATTGGATTTTAACAACAGTTCCGCCTCACAGAAGTTATCTTAGAAAAATAATACAGGTCTCAGAAATCTGCCAAAAAGCCAGATTGATCCAAATATTGTGAAGACTTAAGGAATGTTCAAGTCGCTGCAGATCTGGTTCAAGGTAGGCACTCAATTTCATTTCTACCAATTTCCCACTTCCCACCTACCCTGTTTCCATAAATTTAAATTCAACGGCAAAAGTGTAGTTTACCTGATCACCTCTGTGAGCCTGAATAACTGACACATTGCCTTTCTCATTAACACTGTACAGCACTATCTGGCCAGTATAATTTGCCCGAGGAGCCCCTGCAACAAAGTGAACACCTTTTCCAGTAGAGATTGCAGCCACAGAATAACCTAGGAGAAAAGGAGTTACAGAAGAAATATTATTACATATCTCAACCAGGTAGACTTGCAAAAAGAGAAGAGTTGAGAACAGTCCTGCTCATCATGAGACATGCCTATTTCCCACTGCTTCTGAACCCAGCACTGAAGGCACAGTGTCCTGTTTCTAAGGGGAATAAGATGAATTATCCTGCTTTTTGTCAGAAATGCTACCTTTCCCCAGTACAAGATCTACCTCTAAAGCTGCCTTCAAATTCTGTTTGTTCTCATCAGTCACCCACAAATATGCAAGCAACAAACATTTCTTGAGTTAATGACTAGAATTTAAAAGATAATAATGCCTGGTGGGAATAACTGAAATATTAACATTGCAGTCATATGAGTTTTAATTTTGGAGATACCACTTTTTAACTGTTTTAAGAACTTTAGTAGCTTTGGTGGTTTTCAAAGTTAAAACAGTATAATTAAAACATTTAATAGATATAATAGTGTTTATAAGATCATCTCAGGAATTGTTCTGTTGTAGGTATTCAAACTCAGTGATCACTTATTATAAAGAAAAAAAAAGGCTAAGAACTCCAATGTAATATAAAACAAGCACTGTATTGAGTTTAAAGATCTGTTTAGATTTTTGAAAAACACAGGCATGTCCTGTGAAGTGACAACTTCTTGAACAGTCAGAAGAGATTAGTCAGTACAAGTTGTGTTTGATCAAGCAATTATGGTTAAGGCCTGTTTAGTAAAGAGGTAACATGCATATATTCGATATATATATATATATATCGTATTCAATATGCATATAAAATAAGCATAATAATTAGGTAATAGTTTAAGGGTTTTGCTGAACTGATTCTAAGATCCAACAAGACTGGCTTAAAGGAAAGTAACTTGAATTTGATGAGCTAAATGAGCTAAATGTTGCTCTGCCTTACCCAAATATGAGCTGTGATTTCTATCTTGCAGAATTTGGTCAAAGTCTTGTTTAGGAAAAATGAACTGCTCATGGGTTTTCTTCTGGACAATAGTCCCACTCCAGTCGTAAGCCCCTACTGCACCCAACATCAGAATGTCCTAAAGTGATTAAAAAATTGATGATCATTAAAACATATCACCTTTAGGGCATAAGATTGCAGGGTAGGCAACATATAATGGTTAGATTTAAAGTAACATACACACATAAGCCCAATGAAGCTATGTATAGTCTGACATATCTCAGGTTGTTTTAATATATTTCTGCCACAGAACTAGACTTCCCATCGGCTATTGTTGTTTTGGGCTTTACTTATCACATGGCATTATATCCTCTATCTATACAGCAGTGCAGGAGGAGCACAGAAATATGTTTAAATTTCCATTCAAAGGTAGCACTGTAGCACTGTCCTCCCATTGTTCATTGATTTGCTCAAGCAGGCACCAGTAACGTCTCACAACAAATTGTGAGACTTGGTTGTTACTGTTTTTGGCATATCAAATACATTACGGGGAGCTTGCCCTGCTTTGACGTGCGGGCAAGATACTCTCGGTAGCTTGCCCAGCTCTTCGAGAGGGGCGGAGGTACAATTCAGAAATGCATAATGATTATGAGCCTTTGGAAAGAAACTGGAGTGAGCCTTTAAGAAGACCACAGATTCTAACAGAAATCTTTCAATGAATACCAGGCTTGAGAAAGAGGAAGCACATGGACAAGAAGTCATTAGGGGCTGCTGCTCTCCCAAGCACATCTTGGGAGGCCCTTTTGACCTCTATTTTCAACTTTCTTCCTCTTTCTTATTGACACCTCCTCAAATGTTCATGTGTCATCTGTGACTTCTGTCTGAAAATAGTACAGCTACCAAAGATCCCGCAGCCTGACATTCAATCTATGGAAAGGAAGCTGTCATCGCTCACCACTGAGGAAGGACAAAGATTCAGACCGGGTTTGAGTCATACTGTGATGGACGCAAACCCAAGCTGAATCTTCAAAGCTATAAATCCTTGAATTTAAACTAATTAGCATAAATTTAAAAGTATTTTTAATTTTTTTATCTTTTCAGTATTTTGATCTCACAAAACACTAACGATAGGATTTAGGATTGAAACTTACAAGCCAGGAGCAAGAGAGGTGGTTCAAAGGGTTGAGTGTAGGCTTTGCATGTGGGAGGCCCTAGGTTTGATCCCTTTGATCCCTAGGATTGCCTGGTCCCCCAATAATGCTGGAAGCAACTCTGGAACACAGAGTTTGGAGCAGCCCTCAAGTACTTCCAGGAATGACCCCAAAGCAGAAAGAAGCCATTAACATAACAAAGAGGAAAGTCATCTGTCCCATTTTGTGATCACAGAATGATGTGAATAGTTGTTACAAATTCAGCACTCTGCATGTAGTGTGCAGGAAAGGGTGTTGGGGATTCAGGCAGTGAACAAAAGTCTAAAAGATGTGTGCAGACTAGTGTATGGGTACATTTACTTTTTTTTCTGAGGGTAATACCATAACTTTTATTTTTTTGCTTTTTTGGGGGGGTGGGTCACACCTGGGGATGCACAGAGGTTACTCCTGGCTCTGAACTCAGGAATTACACCTGGAGGTACTTAAGAGACCATATGGAAGGCTGGCAATCTAACCTGGGTCAGCTGCATGCAAGGCAAATGCCCTACCTGCTGTGCTGTTGCTCCAACCCCAGTACCACAACTTTTTTATAAGCACTTACTGACTGACTGACTGACTATCTATCTATCTATCTATCTATCTATCTATCTATCTATCCATCCATCCATCCATCCATCCATCTGTTACTCTGGAGAGAGCAAGCTGATTCCAGTCTTCTTTCCCTGCTCATCACCTCCCTGAGTTCTTAATATTCCCTAAATGTCTCTCAGGGGCACATATCTGTTTGCCCCTTTTATTGTCCTGATTCATATCCTGAATAAGTCAGAATTAGTAGCTGGGAGATGGATGTTTCTGAGATAAAATGATGGATATTTCTGAGTTAAGAGGAGTTGCCACTCCCATTTCCCCTAAAATCCATATTCTTAATATTTTCTATTTTGCTCTTAGAAAAGAGATTCTCTGGCAATAGTTATGACAAGAGCTTCTCTTTTTAATAACTTTTCAGAAGTTAATTGATTTAAAGGGAATTTTTCCAACGATAATACTTTCTATGGATATAATTCTTGTCCCTGGAACATTTCAAGGCTTTCTTGCATACTGTCACTTATTCCACTAATATAAAATCACTGTGAAATAGGGAAGAGAAGGTATTATTAACCTTAATTTTTTAGCTATATTTTGTGTATGTTAGTCACATATACAAAAATTGACTGGCGATCTGTGCTATTATTATTAAAGCACTATTTCTACCCCCCCTTTTTTCTTTTTGCTGTACAAAGATTGTGAAACCAAATGACAGCATGGCTAGATATTATCTGGTATACACACATTTTGAGGAGAGTAATCTGCGCTGAATCCCACTTGTGACATTTCCATCTGGAACTTCTCTCCCCCTTGAACAGTACCTAGGGAATAGAAGTTTCAAAATTTATGTTAATCATCACTTTTTAAATCAGATGTTCAAATATTCAAACAAATGTATAGATATATGTATGTCTTTGTATTTATTTGTTCACATGCATGTGTGTATGTGCATGCTCTGTTCTAATGTTCACTTTAAAAATATAGAGCTAAGGGGCCAGAGTGATAGTCCAGAGGGCAGCATACTTGCTTTGCATGCAGTTAACCTAGGTTCAATCCCTATTATCTCATATGGTCCCTGGAGCACTGTCAGGAATGATCCCTGAGCCAGGAGTAAGCCCTGAACATCACTGAGTCTGACACAAAAACCAGAACAGAGCTGAGGTTGGGGGATAGTACAACAGGTAAAGTTCTTGCCTCACACACAGCTGACCTGGGTCCTATCCCTGGCATCATTATGACCCCCGGAGTTTATCTTGGAAGGAAAAATCACTGTAGAAGTGTCCTAACATATATACCTTAATCTACAATGCTTTCAAGGAAATGTGTGAAAGTGTCATAAGACTTGAGCACTAATGTATTTAATTTCCTACCTATGAAATAGGGAATGAGGTATGATAAAAAAAATCTGAGGTGATCTTTTACTTTTTTCAAATTAATCATTACTACCTATGAAGCGAAGGGATTTTTTTTAGCTTTTTAATATTGCTACCAAAAATGTACATATAGCTCAAATGTAGTTGGAGGAGTTCAGTGACTAATCTGTAGTGAAAACTTGCATAGAGATACTGGTTCAAGTTTCAGGAACCAGGATTCATGACTAAGTAGGAACTTTACCAACTGGGAAATTTGTCTTAGTTTTACATATGTGCTTGCCTCTGATCCTAGCACCGTAAGACTCACTGAGTATTCCAATTCCACAAAATGTAATCAAGATGCTTATGTTTATTAAGCCGCAGAAAAGGAAGTTAAATAACAAAGGATAAACAGAAATAATTCTTAGAAAGATAGACCATGACTTCGCCCCCAAGTTCATACTATCAAATAATCATGAAGCCCAAATCATTTCTGATTAGCTTTTAGAGTTTATTGTGATTATTCATATTCACTTCACCACAAACTCATTTATTACTAGTCAAATAATTTTCTATTACTTCAGGGTACTTTAGATTTTGATTAGTTTAGAGATCTAAACTTAAAAGCACCACAGAAGGCGTATGAAATAATAATACATTTTGGGGTGGGAATACAACTTTCTAGTGAATAAGATGAAAATCTGATTACCAAAATTAATATTTAATTTATATAATACTTTAAGAGGCAGCTTTTGAAACTATACTTGGTACAAAGTAGGTGTTCAGAGGACCAGGCGAGCCCACCGCCTCACCCGCCCAAACAGAGCCTGGTAGCCAAAAATGTCCAGAACCTAATCCCCGCCATGGTCCTGGCTGATCTCCACAGGCTTGAGATGATCCTCATCCAGGAATGAAAAACTGTTGAAAAAACTCAGGTATGCGGGTTTTGTAACCAAAATCTCTAGGCTCTCACAGAGTCAGGCATAGATGACCTCCCCACATCTCCCTTTTCTTCTGGGAGTCTGGCAGTCATGCTCACAAACTGTCTCTGGCTCCATAAAAGCTCAGTAACCAGTCATGATCCAGAGATTCACAAACAGATCTTGGAAGAGAGAAACATGCTGCAGGGATGCCTCTGGATCCCAAAGTCATCATCAAGTTAAAAATTTAACTCCAGCTGTATCACCCTATTAAAAATTTTAGAATTACTGGAGTGACATACACTGAACCACTGATGTACCAGGAGTAGCACACCACATTGGATGGGATGTAAAGTAGAAGGCACCAATCTCGATTAAAATCTATATTAGCACATAATGTTCAACTTCTAACAACATGTTAGTAATCTTTTATACACGGGTTTAATGTTCGAGGGTAAGATACAACAATCTTCACACTGGATTTTTCATAACAAGCAATACAAAATAAATTATTTAGGGTGTGCTATTGCAGCAGGATTGGCTAGTCATTGGGAAAATTGGAAATAATGATGGTGGGAAAGTGTAATGGTGGTGGAACTGGTGTTGGAATATTGACTAATACATTATTATTAACAACTTTATAAAAATAAACTTAAATAATTAAAGTACTAAAGGTCGGAATAATGTAAATCAGATGACATAAACATAAACAGGATAATTATGTGTCTAAACATTTTTGTAAAGATGTCAAATAAATACATTTTCCTGGTTAAAAAAACTAGGTGTTCAATAAACATGCTCTTTAATGTTGAATTACTTGAGATCAACTGCAGGAACCAGGATTTAGATCAGCTGAACTTTTCACCAATTGGGCAGTATGTTCTAGTTCTTTATACAATGCTCTTAAACATGTGCTGCTTCTACACTTACCAGACCTTTCAAGACAACACATGTAAATGATTTGTAGAGAGAGAAAATAAGATATCTTCTTAAAAATTTCCCTATTAATGCAAAATCACTATTTTTTCTCATTTTAAGTGTATGTTGTTATAAGTTTAAAATTTTTCAGAAATTACATAACAATAAAAAATATAAATACATTTATAATAATGGTAAATTGTCTTCTAAGGAAACAATGCAGTTGACAAAAATCAGTTTTTTCCCAAGTCAAAAGTAAACTTTACTTCCCAGTAATTTCACCAAGATTAATCATTAGTATTCTTTGTTGTCTTCTAGGCAAATTACTAATGATTTAATACATTTTTAAAATAACTACTAAAATTGGGAATAATTGTTTACGTTTATTAGACATTTTTATTTTATATTTTATTAACTACTCATTCATTTTTTCTATTTTCTTACTGATGCATATAAGCTCTCTTCATACAAGGCATAAAAATTAACATTATAGCTGTTAGAAAAGATGAAGTCATGAAATTTACATACAAGTGGTACAACATGGTAAGTATCATGCTAAGCGAAATGAGTCAGAAAGAGAGGGATAGACATAGAAAGATTGCATTCATCTGGGGGACATAAAGTAACAAAGTATGAGATTAATATCCCAGAATTGCTGAGATCAGCACCAGGAGGATTACTCCATAGCTTAGAGGTCAGCCGGGCATTCTAGGGGAAAGGGCAGCTCAGACAGAGAAGGGAGCACCAAATAAAGGATGTTTGGAGGATCCTCCCAGGAGGGGAGATGCATGTCGAAAGAAGACTATGGACTGAACATGTTTGCCACTCAATGCCTCTTTTGCAGACCACAACACCCAAAAGGAGAGAGAGAACACAAGGGATTGCCCTGCCACAGAGGCAGGGTGGGATGGGGGGGTGCGGGTGGGGGGAATATTATCCATGGTGGTGAAAATGGGCACTGGTGGAGGGAACGGGTATTTGATCATTGTATAATTGAAACCCAAGCACAAAAAATTGTAAATCTACAACTGTACCTCATGGTGTTTCACTAATAATAAAAAAAAAGCCATGGGGAAAAAATTAACATTAAACAAGCAATTCCATAACAATAAAATAAAAAATTCTTGAAAAAAAATTTGAGAAATCGAGTGCTTACCTTCAATGCTGAAAATTTGTTCTCCTAATGTCCCAGCCTTTTCCAACAGAGCTGCCTCATCAGACACATTGTAAAAGTACCTTTCAGTTGGATTACTGGCAATTGCCTTGATTTCCTTTATTAAATTTTTAGTATCAAGGGCGTTCCTGTTTAAATACCCAAGGACCTTAAAGTAGTGGAAAAAGAATAAGTCATTATTTCTGTATCTCACTTTCTCTATTAGCATGTTCTAATCTACTTTTGATGACAACAAGTTCTCTGGAGAAGAAAGTCAAGCAACACTTCCATAACCCCCTAGTTTACCAGCAGCGAAAATCAGCAAAACAGCAGAGATAGAGCAAGTGTTCCCTTTTATGTAAAAACTATGCACAGCCCGTTAGAAAGTGTCATTCTGGGAAGTGATGTTATAATGGAAATTATACTCATTTGGAAGAAAAGTGAAAAGAAAAGGCACTTACTGCTATGCCAAACCTCAGAATGTTGTCATCATTACACTTATCAATCACAGATTTTAGATGTGAACCATCATGCGATTCTCCATCAGTCACAACCACCATAACTTTGGTAGCACTTGGTCTTCCCCCAAACTCAGCTGAATATGCACGGTCTCTGTGGAAGATAAAAATTAAAGATTCATGGGGGTATGGTGCCACCAGCAGGTCAATCTGTACCTGTGGGGTGAGTGTATCAGCAGCCTGATGGCAACTTCAGACTTCCAGATACCCCAAAATTGCTGCTGTGCCTTTGGCCAGGCCCTAAAAACATGGGGCAACCAATGTATATATCACCATCAAGGTGATTTAAATAGTAGATATATATCTTTCCATTTTGGCATGCATTCACTTCCTTTTATTTTATTTTTGTTTTTGTTTTTAGGTCACTCCTGGTGGTACTTTGGGGACCATATGCAGTGCCAGTGATTTACATGGAATCTACCATATGCAAAGCAAATACCCAGGATCAACACCTCCTTTCTTTAAACTCTTTATTTGGGAAACTTAGTAAGTAACAAATAATCACTATATGACTGTCATTCCATTCTTTATCGATTTATTCAAGCGGGTTCCAGTAACGTCTCCATTAGTCCCAACTCTGAGATTTGAGCAGCCTCTCCTTACTTGTCTTTCCAAACGCTGCCGTATTGGAGGCTCTTTCAGGTCAGGGGAATGAGACCCATTATTGTTACTGTTTTTGCAATATTGAATACACCACGGGTAGCTTGCCAGGCTCGGCCGTGGTGCGATATTCTTAGTAGCTTGCCGAGCTCTCCGAAATATATGTATTTCCCTCTATGATTTCTTGCTTACTGTCTGAACCCCATCAAATATGGTGTGGTAATTATGGAGAATGGGTAGGGAAAGTCTTATGATGTGGTCCAGGAATATGTTCACTCATATGTAGGGCTGGAGCGATAGCACAAGGGCTGGAGCGATAGCACAGCGGTAGGGCGTTTGCCTTGCACGCAGCCAACATGGCCGACCCGAGTTCGATTCCTCCGCCCCTCTCGGAGAGCCTGGCAAGCTACCGAGAGTATCTCACCTGCACGGCAGAGCCTGGCAAGCCACCCGTGATGTACTCAATATACCAAACACAGTAACAACAAAATCTCCAATGGAGACGTTACTGGGCCCGCTTGAGCAAATCGATGAACAATGGGAGAGCCTTTTTATTTTATTATATGTGAGGGTCAGCCCGAGCGTGTGGAAAGTGGCCTGGAGCATGGTGGCAGTTGGATTGTGGAGGTTGGCTGCTGGGGCTGGGTCCCTTGGGGCAGGGCGGGCTCTCACCTGCTCCCCTCTGGGGCACCCCCGAGTGAAAAAACCCTGGTGTGGAGTCCCAACAAATAATATACAATACTATTTTAATTAGCTCCACCAACTGAGAACTGGAGCAACAGCACAGTGGGTAGTGCATTTGCCTTTCACACAGGCAACCTGGGGTTGATTCCTCCATTCCTCTCGGAGAGCCTGGCAAGCTACCGAGAGTATCCCACCTGCACGGCAGAGCCTGGCAAGCTTCCCGTGGCATATTTAATATGCCAAAAACAGTAACAACAAACCTCGCAATGGGGATGTTACTGGTGCCCTCTTGGGCAAATTGAACAACGGGAGGACAGTGCTACAGTGCTACTATTTTAATATTCAATTTTCTATGAAAGGATGTAGAACCTATACATTGACCAGCAGTCTCAGATCTTTCGGTTTCAAAGAAGATCTTAACAAGGTCAATAAAGATTAACCAAACTAGTCTATATTCTCTGCTAGTGTTAAGAGACCATAGGGAGCGTCCACACTTGATGGAAGTAGCATCTGAAATACACCCAGAAAAGGGAGGAACAGACACCCTAGGAAATTCAGAAATAGAAATACAGGATGTGGTGACTGACCAAGTGTAATCTAAGGAACAGCAGGGAGAATAAAGAAAACTAAATTTTTCGAGTCTGCATGACTAGAGGATATAGATGCTTGTATGAATACAAATGACAAAGTCATGAAGAGGGATGGAAAAGGAAAAGAAAAGGACCACTTTAGAATTTACTGTATTTGATAACTTAGAGCGATAGCACAGTGGTAGGGCGTTTGCCTTTCGGACAGCCAGGCCAGCCAAGCCGGGTTTGATTCCTCCACCCCTCTCGGAGAGCCCGGCAAGCTACTGAGAATATCTTGCCCATGCAGCAAAGCCTGGCAAGCTACCCGTGATGTATTCGATATTACAAACACAGTAACAACAAGTCTCAAAATGGAGACGTTACTGGGCCCGCTTGAGCAAATCGATGAACAATGGGAGGACAGTGTTTGTTTTGTATTTGATAAAGAAGCCGAAATATCAGATAAAGACATTAAGCATCAGCTGGATGCCTGTTGGGATTTTGGAGGAGCGCTAAGGGCTGACTACATAGCAAGGAGGCAAGGCAAGCTCCCTGGGGATGAAGCTGAGCTATGAAAAAAAAAAGAAGGTACTTATTAGTGATGTCAACACTAAAAGGAGCAAGTGAACAGGCAAAGTGTTGACAACATTTTCACATTTTTAAGAATTCTAACAGATCAGGGAAAGTGGGTAGGAATAACAGCATCGGCTTATAATTATCAAATTTCAGTGACGTTCAGGGAAAAATCAGGAAGCAGATTTTTTGTTTAGGGGGCCACACTCAACTATGCACAGGACTAACTCCTGGCTCTGTACTCAGAAATCACTCCTGGAAATGCTCACGGGACCATATGGGAGGTCCAGGATCAAAGTTTGGTTGGTTGTGTGCAAGGGAAGCGCCCGATCCACTCTACTATCTCTCACTCCCAGGTAGTTGCTTTAAAGGAAGAAAGGTAAACTTACTCTCCTTATTATTTATTTGTTTATATATTTATTTTAACAATGAGAGTATTTCATGGTTTTGTAAAAGTATTTGATTAAGCAGAAGAGAGGATAAAGTGAGACTGAGAAAATAATCAGGGCTAAAATTCACAAAATATTCTAGTCTCTTAATCCACACCACATAGATTGCAACATCATTAAACTTATTCCTTTCCATCCAAACTCTTCCTCAATCACTAACAGTTAAGAGTTTATAGTCTTTATTAATTTCCAAGAAAACTCCATTAGCTTGACTTGTCTGTGACTTTGATAAGTATTAACAAATCATGGTAAACTGTTTCATTTTCTACCTAACATTTAAATTTCATTCAATCTATTGCATGTAAAATCTTTCAAAGTTCATGTAATATCTTTAAAATTCTAAATATAAAAATTCTATCTCCCCACTGCCTTCTTAACGTATTATCAGCAGTCTTGAACTTTACTTATCAGTTCTATACTCATTAGGGCCTTATTATTTATCTTTTGTCGTTTCTTTTTCTTTTAAGTACTTCACTTTCATCAAAATATTGCTGTCAGAGACAGTAATAACTCACCTCGCATATTCAATTGCTTTGAATGTATTCGTGAGGTCCCCACCAAGTTGTTTTGTCCGGGATGTTGCTTTAATCATTTCATCTTTGGTTTTGTAGGTGTTCAAGTTAAATATAACTCTTGGATTATTGGCATACTGGATTAACCCCACCTATAAGGAGCAGAAGTTTAAATACTGTCATTAAATCATGAATAATTTCTATTCAAAAACATAGTAAAAATCAAAAGTACAATTAAACTTAGACTGATTTCTTAATAAAAATGTTCCCTATTTTGTTCTTAGTTATTTTTCTCCTAATGGAATAATGTCTTTGTTCTGATTATCTTTTATAACAGAGCTTTTATAAGGAAAGTAACCATGATCATGTCTGATTAGGGACTCAAAATGTAATAGTTCAACATTTTAAAGTACAGTCCTATGATATTACCCTGTGGATAAATTTTACAATAAAGTTTAAAGTAGGAATGTTAAGATAAAAAATCTCACAATTAACAATATACTAAAGAATTCAAGTTGAATACAATAAAAATCAGAGTGCAAATTACTGCAATCAATTTGGAGGTATTAACTGTGTTGGATTTCCCATAAGGGTAAACTTGGGCATCATTTGAGAGAAGCTGGTATATGTTCAGAGTCAGGAAGTTAACAAACTGTTTTTTAAAATTTTCTTTTATTTCCAGCCATTTATTTTTATTAGTGAAACACCATAAGGTACAGTTACAGGCTTACAAATTTTTGTGCTTGGGTTTCAGTTACACAATGATCAAGTACCCATCCCTCCACCAGCGCCCATCCTCCACCACCACAGGTCCCAGCATTCCTCCCACCCCCCATCCCCCCATCCCACCCTGCCTCTGTGGCAGGGCATCTCCTTTTGTTCTCTCTCTCTCCTTTTGGGTCCTGTGGTTTGCAAGAGAGGCATTGAGTGGCAATCATGTTTGGTCTATAGTCTACTTTCAGCATGCTTCTCCCACCCTGGGAGGATCCTCCCAATACCCTTTATTTGGTGCTCTCTTCTCTATCTGAGCTTCCTTTTCCCCTAGCATGTGTGGCTGGCGTCCAAGTCATGGAGCAAAATTCCTGGTACTAATCTCGGCCACTCCTGGGTGTTAGTCTCCTATTTTGTTTCTTTATGTTCCCCGGATGAATAACAAACATTTTGACTTCAAGAAAATGACAGCAAAGAGCCTAACTTGAGAGAGCTGAGAGATATAAGTCTGAACACACGCTTTATGTGCAGTAGCCCAGATTTGATTCCTAGCACCATCTGATCCTGAGTATTGCTAGGAGTGGTCCCTTAGCATAGAGCAAGGAATAGCTCCAAGTACCATAGGCACCACCCCCCCAAAAAGTAAATTCTATACCAAGAAGGTCAAAACCCTTTGTTAATGTTCTTGTTCTGGGCATTTAAATCATTCTCTATGAGTAGAAGTTGAGGCCTCCAGAACATAAGTGGGCATAAGAGATGAATGGTGATAGTGCCTCTGAAATAGAGGTCAATATTTCCAAAGAGTGGAAGGGATAAGGTCTGGATTTCTGAGTTCAATCAGTTAACTAGAAAGACAGTTACAAAAGTTCTGGGAATATGATAAATAATATTATACTCTCTTCAAAAAAGATATAAGAATCCAGGGAGAGAGAATGATAAAAATAAGAATTTTTAAATCTAAATCTTAGAGGAAAATAGGTAGTAGAAACACCCTTTGCACAGCCCTAGAACTTCTGCATGAAAAAAGAGCAGGCTGAATATAGATTTAAAGAAATGTGGTTCATAGAATGAGGGAACTTACAGAAAGGTTATGTTCAGCTGCTAAGAATACAAACTAAGAGAAATCACTTCTAGAAATGAAGAGAGTGCAGTGCAGTCAGAGATGGAGGAGGAAGGTATGAACTCCACAGGAGGACCCTTAAATGATATGGACTTCAGAAACCAGTGTTATCTTTATGGAGTCTTACTTTATAGAATTTTCTGGTTAAAGTACATCATTGATACTGCCATTATTTCTGTAGGGACTTCACATCCTTATTAAAAAGAAATGCCCTGGGAAAAAACATGCACTAATAATTTAAAATACTATATAGCAAAGCTTCCAAGTAAGTATCAATATAGATAACTATAAAAAAAATAAGGAAAATCTGTTCCAACAGTTTTACAAGATAGTGGGCATGGGGTTATGAAATGCAACCTAAGAACATATGCAGGAAACACAACCAACAAGTATCTGGTTCAAGGCGCTGCTCCCAGAAAATGACACATCAAATAGCAGAGCACAAAGAAAGGGGGGGAAAAGTTTAGAATGAATGAATAGTACTTAACCTTCTAGAAACGTAAAACTCTTGCTTCAGAACTCTTGCTTCAGAATTGCCTACCTCAAGAAGATAGAGAAGAAAGTTGAAGTTTCTTTAAAACATAAACAACCATATATATTATTTAAATGATATTTCTGGTGAAAAAAGGAAAGCTAGGTTAGAATATGATAAAGTTAAAAACAATCACTTGATCACTTGATCACCTGACATTGCGTTACTCATTGATTTGCTTGAGCAGTTTTCGTAATGTCTCCATCTGTCACTGTCGCATGCTAATGTAGCCCAATTGCATCTGCTTATTCTAGGAACACAAAGAGCCTCAAACTGATTGTTCAGGGTCTTGACGAAGAAGTCTGACAATCTCATAGGTGGGCAGCCATGAAATCTTTTGACGGCCTGTGGAATCCAGTCCGTAATGGCTCTAGTCCAGCGGTCGTCTCCAAATCTCATTACATGTCCAGTCCATTTGATTTTCGATGCCTTGGCAAACGAGACAGCGTCCCTGATTCTTGATCGTTGAGGGAGGTTGGAACTCCAGATTCTTTCTCTCATTTGAGTGAAGCATGATACTCCAAGCATATCTCTTTCAATTCCTATTTGGGAGACTGAATAGCATTCTCATTCTGTTTTCATAGGGCCCAGGTCTCTGAGGTGTATGTTAATGCAGGAAGAATAGTGGAATTGAAGACATGTGCCTGGAACCAGAGATTCTTCGTCCTCCTAGCTATTTCTTCAACGTTCTTGAAGGCATTCCAAGCCGCTCTGTTCCTTCTGCGCAACTCAGGTGCCAGGTTATTCGTCATGTTGACTTCTCGACCTAGATACACATAACTGCTGCATTTGGAGATGTTCGTCCCGTTGAGAGTGAATGAAATGTCAGGAATGATGAACATTAGACAGAGTGGCATCTTGAACTCCCGAGAAACCTCAATGAGCTTGGTTATCATGTGGATATGATCAATTGTGCTAAATCCTTTGCAGAACCCGGCTTGCTCGCATGCTTCATCTCGTGTTCTGCCAATCCTATTCAGGATGACTCAAGTGAACAGCTTGTAGACAACAGACAAAAGGCAGATCGGGAGATAGTTGCCAATGTTGTGGATGTCTCATGGATAATCTTCTCTAATGCCCTTCTGGAAGATGTGATAGATCCATCAGAACATCCGAGGGCAGTCATATTGGTCTTGTAGTTGGCGAAGGATAGGCGGGCATTATGAATGCTTTTCCCAGCTTCTGCCGCATCTGCCAGCACTGCTGCTCTTCTCTCTGAGGTCTTCCTTTATTGCTTCTCTGCACTGCTTAGAGAGCTTGGGCCTTCGCTTGTGGTTGCCTGAGGCTTGCACCAAGCCACATTGGCGAATGAGCTCAAGAGTTTTCAAAGACAGGCGTCTTTTTGTATCTATCTCTCGGTGTTCCTCGCACAATCATGGTGGTGCTGAACCAGTCGATCATATTCCTCATCAATGTTGTCAAGGACGGCATCTTCCCGTGTTGCCACAATAGTGCCAAAGAGCTCTCAGTTGGTGGTTGTTCTGGGAGTTCTCTTCTTAAACTTCACAGCGCTTTCTCTCCGCTCTGTGAAGTAGAATTTTGCATGAAGGAGACAGTGGTCTGATCCCGCTTGGAATTTTGGGACAACAGCGACATCAGTCAGGCAAAACTGTTGATTGAATATGATGTGGTCAATTTCGTTCTGGAACCGACCCCCAGGAGAATCCCATGTCCAACGTTTAGATTCGGCCTTCTGGAATTGTGAGTTACCATGGATGGTCTTGGTCAGCATGATGAACTCAGACAGTCTCTCATCCTGTTCGTTCCATTCTAGGCCATGGGTCCCAAGGTGGAGTTATTCTGCTGATCTTTCAGTCCTATCTTGGCATTAAAATCACCGACAATGATCTTATAGAAGGTGTGGTCTTTATAGAACTTCTCCAGCTCCATGTAGAACTTCTCAATTTCTCCTTCATCATAATTGGATGTTGGTGCGTAGACAATGAAGATAGAAACTGCCAGCTGTGAGCCATATCTATTCGAGTGTAATCATCTGATTTGGGTTGTTAGGCATTCAAATGAATTAATGTTTATGGCCAAGTTTGTGTTGACAAGGACACCGACACCACCGACACCTCTTTTATCGCATGTTCCGAGGAACAGTTCTTCCCCAGTGTCGAAAATGGCGTGATGTGATTGATGCCTTCTCGTCTTGGTCAGACCAATGATGTCGTGCTTGATCTTTTGCACTTGCACCATCAGGTCCTTGATGGATGAATTTGATGCCAGCATATGTTCATTGAAAGTACAGACAGTCATTTTTGTCTTTCTTCGTTGTGGCAACCTAGGTCAGCCCTGAGATTTTATCAGCCTCTCCCTCATCCTTCCTAACGCTGCCATATTGGTGCCTCTTTCTGGGTCAGGGGAATGAGACCCATTGTATTTACCGGTTTTGGCATATCGAATACACCATGAATAGCTTGCCAGGCTCTGTCATGTGGGCGGAACACTCTCGGTAGCTTGCCAGGCTCTCCGAGAGGGATAGAGGCTTTTAGTTAAAAACAATAAATGGAAAAATTATGTTGTCTATGAAATTATTTATTAAGAATCTTACAATTCAAGGATGATTTGTTTTTGCAGTAAGGCATAAACAAAAGAACCTCATTGCCCTTAGGGGAAGTGCCTTCTTGGTCCAGTAAGCAAGATGCAGGATAAAATTATATGTTGGTTTATAAAACATACAGATAAATTTATGAAGTAGAAGGAAAATGTAGACAACCTAAGAAAATTAAAATATACTATATTACATATCCAGTGTTTATATTAGAAAAAGATATCTAAGTCTAAAGAGCCACATCAAACAACATCCTAGACTAGCAACAATGTGATACATATCTCAATGAACTTTTAAGATTTTCCTTAAATTTATTTAATATGGACATTTGAGAAACAAAAAGTAAGACTTAAGTCTAACAATATTTTCTATTAAAGAAAGCTGTGGACTTATATGTATATTATTGACATCCATACCTGTGTCTTTTTGGGGCCTATATCTAGGCCACTCACAAATTTTTCCAAAAAATTCTTCACTGCTTCCCAGGGATAAATACTGTTGGATTCATCACATACGACCACAACATCTATGAGGGAAGGGCAATCTGTAGAGGAAGAAATAAAGGAAAGAGATTTCGTAAGTCCAACTTCACATTCACATAAAACTGAGAATGAAAGGAAACTGAGTTGAAATGGGACTTAGGTGGAAATATACTGATATGCTTCCCCTCAGGCATTGCTCAGACCTTCTGCACACCCATTACTTACTCTGAACTGCAGGTGAAAAGCTTGCCAGGAGCTGAAAATTAGGACTCACGTCGGAACACACACCAGTTGTGTAATACTGATTTCCGCACTGGTGTGCCCACAGGGGACCACAGGTCTTCAAAGAAAGAAGAGGACAAAGCTTATGAAGTATGCAGCCCACCAAGCATCATTAATAAGTCTCAGAAACCACTTCATTCTTTCACAATATACAGAAATCTCTCCCAAAGTTTGCACTCTGTCTTTATGAAAGCTCTGCCTCAGTAGGACAGAAAAAAATTTCAAGCCCATTTCCAGTTGTGTGTGTTTGTGTGTATGTGTGTATGAGAGAGAGACACAGAGAGAGAATCTTGAAAATGTTACATCCAGCATATCTTTTGTGGTAGACACGCATTCCTGGAACTTCTTGTAGGTGGTGTCAAAAATTTTGTATTGACTCACACTGCATATCTTTTGTGGTAGACACGCATTCCTGGAACTTCTTGTAGGTGGTGTCAAAAATTTTGTATTGACTCAGCTCACACTGCTTTGGCTACACTAGTGCTGTTTTAGCTTCTATGTATTATTTGGTGTGATTTGTTAGATTGTTTTTGTGGTCTTGGAAGAGTCCAATTTTTCCCTCATGTGAATTCATGATAATTGTTCCTTTATTTTTATGCCATTTCTGCTTATGAAATTTTTCAAAGACACTCTACTTTCAAATAAAGAGGAGAGAATGTGGACAAGAATATTTCAACTCTTGCAATTAAATTAAAAATATTTTTGAGGGAAAGTGCACCGGAACAAATAAGTGTTAACAAATAAATGTTCACAAATAACAAATATGTCAGTAAAGGTGGCAGAGTTACCCAATAGCAGACTCTTAAAAAAAAAAAAGGGTTAGGATTACTGGGAGCTAAGAAACTGGTGTTAGCTGAGAAAGGAGCCTGTGAGCTCAGCCACTGAGCAAGACAGAGGAAAGGGATGCTTTTCTTCTGGAGGATACCCTGGAGAAAAATGAATACAAACATTATTTTTTTGTCTCTCAGTTACCTGGGTCTCAGGTACTGGATATGTTAAACAAGAATGATTATTCCTCCTATCATTGAAAGTTGTTGTAAGAATAAAATTAGCCCACAGATATAAAACACTTAGAACAGTTCATGCATATAACAGTGGTATGTAAGAGAAAATATGAGGAAAAATACATGGCAAAAACACCCTTTATACAGCCTTAGAACTTCTTCATGACAATGAAGCAGGTTGAATTCATTACTTAAAGAAATATGTTATACAGAATGAAGAACTTTAGATGCTAAGAATAGAGACGATGTGTTATCTAACTTTACGTCTTACCTAGTAACCCATCTCAATTTGATCCCAACACAATCTTTAGAGAGTACAATTTCAACTTCTCATCTTATTTTCTTCCAGGCCAGTTCATTGCTTTCATGGTACACAGCAAGAACCCTCAATCCAAAGGTTCCCAGAGGCCAACAAGATACTTAAAATAATGCTCACGGCTGGTATGGACACCAGGGCTGGCAAAGAGGGTGCCATATAAAGGATGAAGTCTACTATGGCACTGTCCTTTGGCTACTGTGAAATAGGTATCAATTTACTAAGTATCCCAAAAGTTTAAGGGAATTCAGGTAAAATTTGACATGACATCATAGTTTTAAAAAATACTCTACTAAAATCACAAATGACACTTAAGAACTCTCAGTTCCTAACTTTGTCCTAATTATTTCCTTGATGAATGTAGAATTCCCTATTCCCACTACTTAAGACCTTCAGTCAAATTTAAGTTGGCACTTGTTTTCTTGTTCATATCATTTCTATTCCAATTTTTAACATTCCACTAAACCATTTCCAAATCTCTCCTTCTCAGATGCTCTTGAGTACTAAGAGTCTCCAATTAAATAATGATTAAATCAAGAGGAAGCATTAGATGAAATAATATTGAAATTATAATAATGAAGAAAAATGGGAAAGAAGACCTATTTAAAGATTCTTCAAAGTTTAACATTATGTGAAGTTTTGGCTCAGTTATTAAAACTGAACAGAAATATATGAACTTCCAAAAAGATTGAAAAAATAAAAGGACATTTATTTAACTCAGTTTCATTGTTGGTAGGCTCAAAGGAGGAGCAGCTATTGCTACTTTCCAGGCCCAATGGACAAGCTAGAGTTTCTCTGTCTATAGAGGCTGGTTGATTTTGCCAAGTAAATCACAACTGACATTGTTTGTTTGCCAAGTGGCATTATATATTACTGACGCCCATATCTCTATCCTCAAGTTGGCATTTTTAATAACCTTGAAAAATAATTAATGAAACATTCAAGGAAAGAGTTTTTATTTAAAAAGCAATGGAAAACAGCACTAAAGTTGAAATTAGAATGTTCCAATTGGTAATGCCAGAACTACATTCCAGTTTTTAGTCCAGAATTTAAGAAGGTTAAAAAATGTGATGATTGTCCGTCTTTTCCACACAATTCTTAAGAGTATCTTAATATTTTGCTCTTTTAGGTATGTAAAGAAAACACTGGACATTTTCTTTCTTTCTCTCCAAATCTTGATCCCTTCCATACTTCCCCCCCTCCTTTCCCTCTTTTCTTGCTACAGTGACTATTAAATTAACCTCTCAAATTCTTACAATTTTATTTTACTTTACCTGAAGTAAAATATGCTTCAAAATGTGAAGCATATTATGTAATTCCTACATATCTATATATTCTTCTTTCTGAATGGTTTTAAGCATAAAATACAAAAAGGAACCAGAGATAGTACAATGTATAAGATGCTTGCCTGGTACATGACAGATCCAGGTTTAGTCCCTGGCAAACCATACGGTCCTCTGAGCACCTCTAGAAGTGATCCCTGAGTGAAGAGCCAGGAGTACTTACTTAGCATCAGTGGGTTTGGCACAAAAACAAACAAAATGGAATTAAAAACGAATAACTGGGTTGTAGCACTGTAGTACTGTCCTCCCATTGTTCATCGATTTGCTTGAGTGGGCACCAGTAACATCTCCATTGTGAGACTTGTTACTATTTTTAGCATATCAAATACGCCATGGGGAACTTGCCAGGCTCTGCCGTGTGAGCGGGATATTCTCCGCAGCTTGCCAGGCTCTCTGAGAGGGATGGATGAATCAAACTCGGGTAGGCTGCATGCAAGGCAAACACCCTACCCTTTGTGCTATCGCTCCAGCCCAACTGGATTGTAAAACATGAAAATTCGTTGAAATATTAATTTATACATTAATGTAACAGTACTTGATTGCTAATATCAAAATCTATCTTAATATTAGTAAACAATATCATTATTTTAGTAAAATTAATGATATTGTTCAAAATTAACTATATCTTAAGAATAATCCAGTTAACACAGATTCAAGTTTTGAAGATAGCTTGTCAATGGTACAGATATAATCAAAGTAAAGTTAAATTAAGCTTCCTGGGGCTGGAGCGATAGCACAATGGGTAGGGCGTTTGCCTTTGCATGTTGCCAACCTGGGTTCAATTCCCAGCATCCTATATGGTCCCCCGAGCACTGCCAGGAGTTATTCCTGAGTGTAGAGCCAGGAGTAACACCTGAGCATTGCCAGTGTGACCCAAAACAGCCAATAAAAAATAAATTAAGCTTCTGGGGACAATTTCAATAGGTCAATACAACAAGAATACATACACTTGAGCTAGTTTTAAAAATCTTTAAAAAATTTTTTTGTTGTGTGTGATGGTTTTAACTTTTTTGAGTAGTCAAAATTTTCAAGGATTTTTATATTATTTCTTCTACAAATTCTAAGCTAAAAACTTCTTTCCATTTTCAGAAAATTTGTTTTCTTTGTTTTTCCCCTTTACAGATTTGTATTTATGCATTGGTGATTTGCAATAGCTTTAGTAGTGGAGTTTTAGGCATATAGTTCCAGTTCACACCCATCACCAGAGTGTCACTGTTTCTTCACCAATGTTTCCCCACCTAAACAATTACAATCTCAGCAAAACTCAATTCTGTAAACTAACTCACAATCTCTTAACATAGAGGATTTAAGGGGTTTACTAATCAATATGAGAAAATTTCTCACATTTTCTAGTTTTTTTAATTAACTCTTCCTTTGTTTCATGTGAAATCATATTGAGATGTACAAGTTGTATGGCCCCCAACCTCCCTTGTTGAACTCAGCATTTTTTTTACTGATTTGTGATGACTTTTTACAACATTCTAGAAATTAATGAAAGTAAACACTGACATGAAATATATGAGAAACTGAACCATCTCTTAAATAACATTGCATCAGCCAACATCTTAAGGAAATGATTAAAACAAAAATACTCCTGAGCTGTGAAACCTGCTTTCTGAAACAGCAGCAGCTAGTTTGTATAGTATTAGAAGGAGAAATGAAACCTGAAATTTTCTTCTTCTTAGCAAATATGAGGCAAACTTTCCAGGGCAAAAGAATCATCAGTATTCCCTTTTATACTTCTCTTCAAAAAATTCTGTCAAAATGGTTTTATGTCTTATGAATCTTGTATCTCCGCATGTTATTACTACATACTGAATAGCCAGATAGCATGAAAGGAAAATTCAGTATTTATTTTTTAATGGTAGAATATTTAATATTCTAAAAAGGAGTGGTATTTAAAAGAAAACTGCTATACAGAAGACCAGAGTAACAAAATAGAGGTAAGATATTTGCCTTACATGAGACAGACCTAGTTTCAATCCCTAGCACCACATATGGTTCTCTGAACCCTCCAAGAGTGATCCCTGAACAGAACCAGGGTAAGCTCTGAGCACCACTGATTGTGGCCACAAAGTCAAAATGAAAAAAATATAAGTGCTGTACATTATTATATTCTGTTTAAATAGTCACACAGCAGAATCTAGACAAATTAGTTCTGTACAGAAATTGTTTACTACATAATAAACAAGTGATTGATCCATTCTAAATATTTATGCTTTTTCCTTAACTACATATTCTCTATAGTAGATTAAAATCCAGTAGATTTTAAATTCTTTAAAATCTTTAGATTTTAAAATTTTAAAATCCAATACATTTTCTCTATAGTAGACTAAAATACAGTTCTAGCTCTTTGAGGAAGAAAATTTATGAAACATCTCCTCTTGCTATTCCTACATGTAAAATATTACACAATAGATATTACAGTAGAAGATGGGATCTGTCCTCAAAAGTATAAGTTATGAAAATTCAGTATTTAAACCCTATGATCTACCGTGATATCAGGATATGGAATAGAAGACATATTTTCTTGGGAGGAATGAGGAATTGAAAAGTAAATACTCACGAGAAATCCTCCAGTCCCCACATTCCTTGTGAGTGTCAAGCCAAGGTTCATGTTGGTTTTCATCTCCGTAACATTGGGAATGGTCGTGAAAGCTTTCAGGGGGAAAAAAGTTTTAAAAGAGTAAGATCCTCGGTATTTATTTAAAGCTAATGTAAACACACACACACACATACACACACACACACCCCTTTATTTGTAGCAGTGAATTTAGTGTAATATATCCAGGTTCTCTATTATGCAATTAATTATAGGAAATGAGATGCCTTCAATGATCCAGAAGTTTATTGAAATGTATAACACTGCAGCATATACATATACTATTAGGAGATGCTACCTGGAGAAGGTTTAAAGTAGAGGTTTCTAAACCAAGTTCTGGCCATAAAAACACATATGCCCTGCCACAGAGGCAGGGTGGGATGGGGGTAAGTGGGGGGTGGGAGGGATACTGGGATCCGTGGTGATGGAAAATGGGCACTGGTGGAGGGATGGGTATTTGATCGTTGTATAATTGAAACCCAAGCACAAAAATTTGTAAGTCTACAACTGTACCTCATGGTGTTTCACTAATAAAAATTTAAAAATTAAAAAAGTAAAAATTAGAGTTAAAAAACACATATGAAGATATGATTTGGTTTCTAGTTTCAACCATCTCTGTTCTTCCAAGATCATGAATGCTTTATTCTGAATCAATAAATATATCCTTAAAGTATTGTCCATGAATGTCATATGGTAAAGATGGCACAAAGAAAGAACGGATAAATTTTAATAAGAAATTATGAGATGGACCTTGTGAAATAAGTCTCTTTGATTACCTCTTTTATACTGTTTCAGAGCATCAACCATTGTATCCATTCTTGAGATATTACAATTCCCCATATTATTTACTCATGATCTTTAATTTATGCCAAACCAATACCTGTCCCTTCTGTTTATTCCCATGTCCTAGGCTATTTTTAAACTTTACCTAACTTTACCTTACCAAATCTCCAACCACAACCTGATCCCAACAGAATCTTCAGAGAAGACAACCTCATTCAAAGACTAGTCTCAGCTTCTCATTTTCATCTAACAATAATTTCTGGAGCTCTTTTCCTTCCCTTTCTTTCCTTAGTGTCTGAGATTCGTTCTAAAACTCCTTCCACCAGTCAACAAGGACTTTGATTCTATATAGTTACTCCATCCTTAACTAATGGCCACTTCCATTCAATAACTTCCTCCCAATATACCTACAAAGTGAATCATCTTTTTATTAGAAAACTCGTATTTTAACCCCATTGAATTCCATTTTCTACTCCTATTTACTATTTTGGGGAATGGTCTACTTTCTTTTCTGGTGCACAGTTACTCTCTACTTTCTCCTGGTATACAGTTACTCTGCTACATACACTTTATTTTTTTATTTTTTTAATCTATTTTCTCCCCTCAACACTACTGGATTTATACTCTAAGCAAGAAAGTAGCCCAAAATATGATAAACTGAATTACAGAAAGAAAATGATACTTTATCTTTACACGCATTTATTATGTTAAAAATATGCTTTATTGAACCTCTCAGTATCTGTATTGCAAACCATAATGCCCCAAAGTAGAGAGAGAATATGGGGAATATTATCTTCCGTGGAAGCAACGGGAAAGTGAGAAAGGGGGGGTATACCGGGGATATTGGTAGTGGGGAATATGCACTGATGGACGGATGAGTGTTTGATCATTGTGTGATTGTAACCCAAACAGGAAAGCTTGTAACTATCTCATGGTGATTCAATAAAATTTTAAAAAATTCATTTTAACGATTTAAAAATATATACCTTATTAGAAGGATCATATATCAGTACATGTATTCTTTTAATAATAAAAATATATGTGGAGCTGAAGAGATAGTGGGTAAGGTGCCTGCTGTGAATGTGGCTGGCTCAGGTTGGACCTCTTGAACCGAATATGGTCATCTAAGTCCACAAGGGGTGATCCCTGAGTGCAGAGCCAGGAGTAAACCCTGAGCATTGCTGGGTGTGGCCCCAAACCCCAAGAAATAAAAAAAATAGAGAAATAAAAATATATGCATGAAGGGTGAGTATTCAAAACAAGCAGTAATATAAGACATGAAGGTAGACATAATAAAATTTTTAATACTGAGTCTTTGAGCACTAACATCTAATGCATTTTTTAAGAAAAAATATAAATATTATGTGAATTTCTATATGTACATACATATATTATGATTGTTGAGAATGTTGGGAGGGCACTATGGTTTCTATTACCCTGTCTAGGGAGATAGGCTGATGACCTGTCCTCGGTCTTTCACCCTCCAGCACTTGACACCTTGGATATTCCTCTAGCTCTCACACAAAGTGTTTATTAAGATCTTATAAAATGCCAGGAATTATGTGAAAATATAAAATATCAAGTATCTCTTGTCTCGAGTTCTTTATCAAGATTCCTGAATCTCTTTCTTCTTTTTCTTGATTTCCATAACACTGTTTTCCTGGCTGGAGCGACAGCACAGCGGTAGGGCATTTGCCTTATGCGCAGCCAGCCCGGCCGAGCGGGATTCGATTCCTCCGCCCCTCTTGGAAAACCCAGCAAGCTACCGAGAGTATCTCGCCCGCGTGGGAAACCTTGGCAAGCTACCCCTGACGTATTCAATATGCCAAACACAGTAACAAGTCTCAAAAATGGAGATGTTACTCAGCCCGCTCGAGCAAATCGATGAACAACGGGAGGACAGTGTTTGTTTGTTTGTTTGTTTGTATGTATGGTTAGTTATTCAAAACTCCTCAGTGCTTTTTTTCTTTTAAAATGAAACGATAATATTAAATCTAAGTAACAATTCATTTGGATCAGATAATACTGTACGGAAATATGACTTGTTTAGATTTTCTAGCCGTGAACCATTGGAAAAGTTTTATATTCCTGGAAAGAAAACAAGACACAGGTAATTAAAATTGCAATGAAAAACAATTAAAATAATTGCACACTATAAATATTTATTAAAATTTAAATTTTTAGACATGATCAGAAATAAGCACCTCCAAAATTGAACCCAGTCAGTATTGTGATTTCTACACTTAGTTCATAGTTGTGGGGAGGGAAAGAAAAGTGAAAATGAAGGGATTTCTAGAAGTAATTTGGAAAATAATAATATACATTAATGCAAAAGTTTAAAGTCTAAGGCATATAGATCTAAGGCTGCACATTCAAACTGCTGGAAGCTTGAGTTCCATTGAGTGCCATGAGGCTGCAGACAAAGCTATGGATATTTCCTTGTAACAAAAGTATAATTAGTGATGGTGGTGATTTTCAGGAAAAGAGATTTTTCATTTGTGAAATATTACTAATTCCAACTTACTTTGCAAATTCAGTTTTTCACATGAATCAGAGGGCAAATCAACTGGACATTTATACACATCTCCCATTCGGTTGTCAGGGAAGCCACTCCAAGGTGAACCAACGAGCAACCTAGAAATAGAATTTGTCATAGTAGACATTAAATATTAGCTATAGTTTCTTAAAGCCAGACCTGATGATAAAGCAGTAAAAATTCCATTTAATTTCAAATTTTAATAAATACACCATCTATATTTATTTGGCTATAATTTGACATTTTTCTTTTCCTCATAGCTGATGAATATCCTTGATGAATGTCTTAAATGGATGTTTTGCTATGACACGCCAGGAGAACTCCAAGCAGTGCCATCAAATAGAAACATAATAAAAGTGACAAATATAAGCCATATGTGCAATCTGTTGTCACATTAATATAATAAAACAATAGGGACACTTAAATATTTTATTTAACTTGATGTGTTCAAACTATTTCGCTAGCAATATAAAATTATCAATGAGGCTTTGACATTGTTTTCTGTAGTTAATCTTTGCAGATGATCTATATTTAAAGCATCTATTAATATAGACAAGTGTGCCCTAAGTGCTCAGGGGTCATCTGTGGCTGGTGGTTAGCACACTGGTCAGCATAGCTCTAAAAATGGAAACCATATTAAAAACAAAAGCAAAACCTAACGTTTGTTGAGTATTTTCAAGTCCCCTAACACTTGCATATATTAAAACTTCTCTATGGGGGAAATGAAGTATCTAAATGGGTTTATACCAATCTAAGAGGATCCTGAGCCACGATACAAAGTAAATACAATATGATGCCGCAGAGCATGTCCTTACATAAACATATTTCCAGAATACAGGATACTGGGGTCAAAGCTTAGTAAACTCACACTCCCATCTGCTTTGGTTAGCCTTACTTCCTACAGTCTTCTCCAGCTAGACTGTGCATTTCCCTGTAGAATCTCTCACCTGACATTCCTGGCCATGAAGAATGGAAACAAAGAATCCTTACAATAGTCTGATCATCATAAACTACAGCATGTTAGTTACTCAGTTGCACCAATTATAAAAGTATATTTGATCCATGTTTTGTTATTGTCATAAAAATTGGCAAATATCGGCTTATATAAGAAACTTATGTAGCTGTTAGAAAAGATGAAGTCATGAATTTTACATACAAGTGGTACCACCTGGAAAGTATCATGCTAAGCGAAATGAGTCAGAAAGAGAGGGATAGACATATAAAAAGATTGCATTCATCTGGGGGACATAAAGTAACAAAATAGGAGATTAATACCCAAGAATAGCCACGATCAGTACCAGGAGGATTACTCCATGGCTTAGAGGCCAGCTGGGCACTCTAGGGGAAAGGGCAGCTCAGATAGAGAAGGGAGCACCAAATAAAGGGAGTTTGGAGGATCCTCCCAGGAGGGGAGATACATGTTGAAAGTAGATTATGGACTGAACATGATTGCCACTCAATGCCTCTTTTGCAGACCACAACACCCAAAAGGAGAGAGAAAACAAAAAGGAATGCCCTGCCATAGAGGCAGGGTGGGATGGGGGGATGGGTGTGGGAGGGATACTGGGATCCATGGTGGTGGAAAATGGGCACTGGTGGAGGGATGGGTACTTGATCATTGTATAATCGAAACCCAAGCACAAAAATTTGTAAATCTACAAGTGTACCACATGGTATTCCACTAATAAAAAAAAAAAGCTTTAAAAAAAGAAAGAGAGGGATAGACATAGAAAGATTGCATTCACCTGGGGAACATAAAGTAACAAAATAGGAGACTAATACCCAAGAGTGGCCGAAATTAGTACCAGGAATTCTGCTCCATGGCTTGGAGACCAGCAACATATGCTGGGGCAAAAGGGAGCTCAGATAGAGAAGGGAACACCAAATAAAGGTGTTGGGAGGATCTTCCCAGGATGGGAGAAGCATGCTGACAGTAGACTCTAGACCGAACATGATTGCCACTCATTGCCTCTTTTGCAAACCACAACACCCAAGAGGAGAGAGAAAACAAAAGGGAATGCCCTGCCACAGAGGCAGGATGGGATGGGGGGGGGGGGGAGGGATACTGGGACCCGTGGTGGTGGAAAATGGGCACTGTTGGAGGGATGGGTACTTGATCATTTTATAACTGAAACCCAAGCACAAAAATTTGTGAGTCTACAACTGTACCTCATGGTGTTTCACTAATAAAAAATTTTTAAAAAAAGAAACGTAAATCCTCTCTTTAGCTTCTATATAAATATTTTACATTTATCCCAAGCCAAGTGCTAAGTGATAAGGAATGCTTCTTATCTACTAAATCTAGTAAAAACTGGTTAAAATACCTGACAAGTAAAAATAACAATAATACACAATAGCTGAAAAATATGAATAGGCTCCCTTCCAGAACAAATATTAAAATGGTCAAAGTATTCTAAAGGATGACGGTGCTGGGTAGCACTCTCAGAAAAGAGAACTCATGAATAATTGTGGAAAGAGAAATGAGAGTTAATGATTTATACTTAAGCTTTTCATCTTATTCATTTTATACAATTATTGCCAAACTGTCTCTGAGGCACGGTGTTTTATAATACTGTTAATGACAGGGTTTCAGGCACACTAGATTCCACACCACACCCTCCACAGAGTGTCTGCTTCCCTTCATTTTGCAGTGCATTATAGCACACTAAATTTTTGTTCACTTTAAGGTTGGTCTTGAAAGATGTTTTTTGCTTTATGAGTGAGTACTTAGCATGGTTTAGCTATTGCTATATTATCTACAGACAGAATTACAATACCAGGCAATAGATTAAGGGCTTTAAAAAAGATAGACAACTAAATGTTAGCTATGAGTAAATACCAATATTTTATGTAAGGGAAGAACAGAATATAGCCAACTTTGGAATGCACATTTGAGAGTGTCTCATGTTCTTCAAATTCATGGCAGCTCTCACAGGAAATTAGGAAAGTTACTAAGTCTCTGATGTAAAAAATTGCCTTCCAACTGTTTGATCTTCTTTCTACACTCATCTTGATTCCACAGGACTGCATTAACATCATGTAGCATCCAGGAGTGCAAGATAGTATCTAACTCATTTGCTTCTCCAATCCTGTTTCTTTCGGTGCACCTTTCTGAATCTCTGACTTACTGAACTCAGTGTTTCCATCAAATCAGATTATCTTGATTTTCAATCTTCACTTAAGATGTTCTGCAAAGTGATTCTCATTAGAAATCACTTTCTCCAGAAAATTCTTGAGTTTTTGAATGTGGTCAAGGTAGCTTTCCTAAGTCCACGCTTCTGTACTTCTTCTATTGCAGTTTTTATCTTGTAGGCCAATAACTACCTGCCAACTAACCAAATCTTCCACTCAAGAAAATACTGTCTTTGAGAGCTAAGAATTTTGCTTATCACACTGTTTAATAACAAATGGGCGAATGGTTTTATGTTGCTATTTAAAGCGATTACTTTGGTTGTGAAATAATAAGTAGAAATCTTTAAATTCTGTTTTTATTCAGGGACATTTATTTATTTGGGCTATATCTAACAATGCTCAGGGCTTATACTGGCTCTGTATTCAGAGATCATTTCTGGCAGGGTTTGGGGAACCAAATGAGGTATCGAACCTGGTCAGCCTCATGTAAGGCAAGTGCCTTACCTGCTATACTATCTCTCTAACCCAGCATTTTTTTTTATCGTAGCTAAAGAGGTAAAATAAATGAAAAAATATTAACTAGGTTGAGAAGAAAGTGTTATGCTATTTCCATTGTATCACCTGTTTCTGATTTAGTCTCCACATACCTATTACGCCTCAAACTTGGTGACTATTAAATTTAAACAAATGCTAACTATGGACATACTGTAAAGAAGCAAAATAAATTACTCCATCTAGCAAGTGTGGTTCTGCCTCCTTGGCATGTTGGTAATTCCTGGCATGTTGGTTAATCTGACAACAGCTGTTCTGGTACAAGAAGCTTTTCAAACGTTATCTTATTTAGTATGTGAAACAAGGTCTGAGATTAATCTCTTGGTATCATACAGAGGGAACTCTTGAGATCCAAATCGATGAACAGTGTACTCATATTCACGTGCGTAGTAAGCCAATTGCAACTGATTCCCAAGCTCTAACCCTGCACCTTTCTTCTCTGGTCTCCATCCCCTCAACTTCAAGAACGTCTGGCCTAGGGTTCAATTTGGGAAAACTGTACAAATATTTGGCATTGGCTTCCACAAACATCAAGGAATGGAAACTGAAAAGTCATCTCAGACACTCTCCCTGATGGGGTGTGACAGCGTGTTGTATAAGGAGGCTGCACAACCACGAGGACACCAGCCAAGGTATCCAGTAAGATCTCCAGACACATGTAGGGCTCAGGCCATAGAGTTTACAACACAAGTTGGAACATGGTACATTCATGTTGGACCAAAGGAGGTAACGGTGGGAGGATTTCTAACAGGCAGCTTCCATATATCCTCAGTACTTCCTAAGAAAGATGCACTGAGGAACAAAAGGTTGGGGGTTGGGGGGAGGTGCACAATATGCTACAGGAAAGCAACATGGGGGAGTACTTGAAAAGTCTGGAGAACATGAGTGGTGCTAAAAGAAGTGGCAGTGTTCACCAAAATCATAACAGTCAATTAACAAATAAGGGGGGCAGGTACGGGAAGGAGGAATTTAGGACAGAGAGGTGGGAGGGGAGGGTCATGGACATTTCAGTGGCTGGGTGGGCAATCATTTTGTATATGAGTACTAGAAACTTAAGCACCTTTGTAACCCTGTCACCTAAAGTATATATATATATATGTATATATATATGTATATATATATATATATTTAAGTTAAGCGATTCTCATTTGAAATGCAATCGGTTGTTTCCTCAGAGAGGGTAAAGCTGTACCACCCATTATCAACTGTCTCCAGAAGAGGACTTAAAGCTAGGTTTTCCTTCCTATTGACCAAGTGTTCCAATGTTGCCACAGCTACTGTGAGAACATGGCCATACCACTTTAAACACAAGGGATGCAGAAAAGAGTGGGCATCTACAAAGTATGGTGCAACATTTTTGTTTGTTTTTTTCTTGTGGGGCTGGAGTTTAGATTGAAGCCACACATGACTCTGA